GCTTTTTTCTTTTTGCTTATGTGGTGCTGAGGAATCGAACCCAGGGCCTCAGGCATGCAAGGCAAGCACTCTACCACTGAGCCACCTTCCCAGCCCCTGAATCCTCCAAATCTTAAACCTCCAGAATAGCTAGGATTACAGACAAGAGCCACTAGAATCTGGCTTCCAGTTTGAATTTTTTACTCTTTTGTTTTTGTTTTTGTCGGTCAGAGCCTGGGCACTGTCCCTGAGCTTTTGTACTCAAGGCTAGCACTGTACCACTTTGAACTACAGTGCCACTTCTGATTTTTTGGTGGTTAATTGGCAATAAGAGTCTCACAGACTTTTCTGCCCAGGCTGGTTTCAAACCACAATCCTCAGATCTCTGCCTCCTGAGTAGCTAAGATTATAGGCATGAGCCACCAGTGCCCAGCCAATTTGTATTTTTAAATCACATCTTTTGCAACAGTATGGATTTGGTTTGTCTAATTTATTTGAGTGTTAAATTGGACAACATATATTTAAAATAACTTAGAATTTCTATTCTTTCAGGCCTTTGAGCCATTTTAAACTCTTTTCCATGATTCAACTTTTCTATTTCTTTCTAAATTTTATTTTTTTAATGTTAAAATTTTTTAAATTATTTATTAAAAAAATATTTCTAAGATTTATATACTTCCAATTCCAGTAGGTCATAAACACTTTACAGCTTGAGGTCTGTTATCTTAAGATTTGAAGTGGTTACCTACTCTTTCATCCAGAAAAGCAACAGATATTTCTTGGTTACTATTGTTTAAATTCAAAATTGTAATTTACTGTCTTCCACCTAGTAAACCAACATTCCTTAATTACTTAGCTTTCATGTAGTATGCTGGTATTTATGTTTCCTGCCTGTCTTTGCAGAATTTCTTTCTGCCTCTCCCATGCAAAACTCTTTTACTTTACTATGAGTGTTCTACATGTATTGTCTGTGTGAAACTTCATCTTGTTAAGCACTTGTTGGTTATTATATGATAATATAGATATATTTCCCAATTAACAATTTTTTTGTGAAACAAAATATTGCAACTAAGTAAAATGATTATATTTATGTGGTATTATTTTCAATGTGGCTTAAATATATATTGATATGTATGGTCTGCCAATGCATATAAGAACAAGGACACTTAGTTACCTAACAGGTAAGTATTTCTCATGCTTTTTGATTAAAAAAGATATGCTATAATTCTACTTGTTTTAAAAGGCTTATTTAAGCAGAGTCAGATGATATGACCAGTTGTAATTAGGAGCAGAAAATAATGTGTCCAGCAGTTGAAAGGTAAGTTTTTCCTTGCTGGTATTCTCTGCAGTGTTTCATCTCAACTACAATTGCTTGTCAGCTGAACTTTATTTAGTGTTAACTGTACTTCATCAGTTCTGATGAGATATATTTATGGATAATATATTCCCTCTCTTGCAGATCATGAACTACTATGGAAAAGGGAAAGTTAGAATTACATTAGTAACAAAGAATGATCCATACAAGCCTCATCCCCATGATTTAGTTGGAAAAGATTGTAGAGATGGCTACTATGAAGCAGAATTTGGACAAGAACGCAGACCACTATTGTAAGTACACAGACATAGACAACTCAAGAATATATAGGTAGATAATGCCCTGTTTCCTATTTATAACTGTCAGTTACATTTTAGCAGAATAAATAATTGTTAAAAAGAATCGTGTGTGTGTGTGTGTGTGTGTGTGTGTGTGTGTGTGTGTGGTGTGTGTGGTGTGTGTGTGTGTGTGTGTCAGTCCTGAGACTTGAACTCAGGGTCTAAGCACTATCCCTGAGTTGTTTGTTTGTTTGTTTGTTTTGGGTCCGGTCATGGGGCCTGAACTCTGGGCCTGGGTGCTGTCCCTCAGCTCTTCAGCTCAAGACTAGCTCTCTACCACTTGAGCCACAGCACCACTTCCAGCTTTTTTCATTTTGCTTATGTGGCGCTGAGGAATCGGAACCCAGGGCCTCAGGCATGCAAGGCAAACACTCTACCACTGAGCCACCTTCCCAGCCTATCCCTGAATTTTATTTGCTCAAGGCTGTCTGGCACTTCAGGCACAGCTCCACTTCTGGCTTTTTAGTGATTAATTAGAGATAAGATTCTGTCTCACAGACTTTCCTGCCCCGGTTGGCTTTGAAACACAATCCTCAGATATCAGCCTCTTGAGTAGCTATGATCATAGGTACTAGCTGCCAGTGCCTAGCAATAATCTTTTTTTTTTTTTTTGGCAAATAAACCTATACGTGGTTGTAAATATACTAAGGTACTAATAGCAATTGTCTTTGGATGGATAGGATTGTGAGATTTTTGTATTATATTTATTTTATAACCTATTTATGCAATGAACATGTATTGCTCTTGTGGGAAAACAAATCTTAATTATAGCAGAAAAGGGTTGACAACGTTCCTTTTATTTAGTAATAATAATTTAGATAAAAAACACTTTAAGTCCAGTCTGATGGTAGATTGCCTATCTATTAAATCTCAGCTCCTTGAAGAGGTTAAGATAAGAGGATCTCTTGAGCTTATGAGTTTAAGGCCAGCCTGAGCAACAGAGTGAGACCCTGTGTTAAACAAAATGAAGCAAAACAAACACTGAAAAGAAAAACAATTTTAAATGTACTTTTTAAAGCCTAGCATGGTGGTATTTACCTATAAAGTGAGCATTTGGGAGGCTGAGGCAGATTGTCCTTCAGTTTGAGACAAACTCGATTAGGTTGTAAGAAAAAAGTAAAAATTCCTTTTATTAATAGTAACAGAAATCTAAAATATCTAGTGATATATATTTGACAAGAAATATTTCCTATCTATATTACTATATAAACTCATGATCATTCTTGTCTTGCAATACTCTTGTTTGATTTCTAAAAACTTCTAAAACTTTCTAAAAACTTGTTTTACTCTCTACTTTTCTGGCTATACTTTAAAAATATATATATAGACAGTAATTTTTTGTTGTTGTTGTTTTTGTTGGGTGTGGGATTTGAACTCTGGGCCCGGGCACTGTCCCTGAGCTCTTCAGCTCAAGGCAAGTGCTCTACCACTTGAGCCTCAGCCCCACTTCCGGTTTTCTGGTGGTTAATTGGAGATCAGAGTCTCAGGGACTTTCTTGCCAGGGCTGGCTTTAAACCACAATCGTCAGATCTCAGCCTCCTGAGTAGCTAGGATTATAGTCATGAGCCACCAGCTCCTAGCAGTAAAATTTTTTGATTACTTCAATTATTGTCTTAATTGATTTTATGTTTATCTCACCTATACCTCAATCCAAGATTCCATTAAAATTGATTACTCATTATGTGTAGCATTATATTTAGCATGAACATTTTTGTGATACCATGTTATATGAAATATTTTGGGCAGAAATCTACAGAGATTATGGCCTACTGTTTTCAAAGAATCACTTCAGGAGACATGTGGTATTAGTTTTGTTTCCATTCTTGGTGATATTGACACTGTTATTAAGAACTTTCTCTTAGGCCAGGTGCTGGTGGCTCATGCCTGTAATCCTAACTATTCAGGAGGCTGAGATCTGAGGATTGTAGTTCAAAGCCAGCATGGCAGAAATGTCTCTGAGACTCTTATCTCCAATAACCACCAGAAAACTGGAAGTGGTACTGTGGCTCAAATGGTAAAGTGCTTGCCTTGAGCTGAAGAGCTCAGGGACAAGTACGCAGGCCCAGAGTTCAAGCCCCACGACCAACAAAAAAAGAAAAAAGAAAGAAAAGAACTTTCTCTTCCCCATTTAAAAAGTATTTGTCAGCCTGGTGCCATTGCACCTGTAATCCTAGCTATTCAGAAGACTACAATTCAGAGGATAGTGGTTCAAAGCCAGACTTGGCAGAAAAGTCTCTAAGACTTCATCTCCAAAAGCATTAAAAAGTTGGGTTGGAGGCATGACTCCAGGGGCACAACACAAGCCTAGCAAGCAAGCTGAGAAAGTACAAATTCCTGAGTCCAAATCCCCATACTGGCCAAAATAAAAAAGTACCACTATCAACTTAGAATTATTTAATGTATTATAGTTCATTATTAGCATTATATTGATTGTCAAATGACCCAGATATGATCAATACAAACTCCTTCATATGTTCTCATTTTCTTCAAGCACTTTTTTATTTTCCTACATGTGTGTTCAAGACTTTTCTTGCTCCAGCCTAAAGACCTTTAGTTTTCCCCAAGAATCTGTAGCTTCAGTGTAGAATAGTTTTATTTTGATTGCTTTCTCAATATTCTTGAAAGCACATCAAAATATATCCCAGATTCTTGTACTATGACATTAGCTCTTCCTTCTCAAAATTGGTCTTCCAAAGTGTCTAGTCACAATATATTCCAATAAAGCCACAAATATGAGCATCATCCCTCACACTTATCCAGGTGTGAATACACTAGCCTTTTAAGTGACACTTTAATCTCTCTCTGTTACCCAGTAAAATCTTATCATTACAACACTAGTTCAACAGTCTGAATTTGAGCCCTTTAAATAGTCTTCTACCTCCTGGACTTGCATCTGCTCTTATACTTTTTTCCCTTAGTTTTCCTCACATTAGCCAAAGTAATCTTTTATTTAAAAAATGGTTAATATGGGCTGGAAAAGTGGCTCAGTGGTAGAGCGCTTGCCTTGCATGCTTGAGGCCCTGGGTTCGATTCCTCAGCACCACATAAGCAGAAAAAAAAAGCCGGAAGTGGTGCTGTGGCTCAGGTGGTAGAGTGCTAGCCTTGAGCTGACGAGCTGAAGGACAGTGCCCAGGCCCAGAGTTCAGGCCCCACAACCGGACCCTCCTCCCCCCCCAAAAAATAAAACAAAAATAGGGCCGGGAAAGTGGCTTAGTGGTAGAGTGCTTGCTTTGAATGCATGAGGCCCTGGTTTGATTCCTCAGCACCACATAAGCAGAAAAAACTGGAAGTGGCACTGTGGCTCAAGTGGCAGAGCGCTAGCCTTGAGCTGAAGAGCTAAGGGACAGTGCCAAGGCCCAGAATTCAGGTCCCATGACCTGCAAAAAATAAAATAATAAAAAGTTGCTTATATTAGTTTTATAGAGAGGATTTCATTGTTAAATTTCCATTCAAGTTTAAACTATAGTACAATCATAGCGATCTTTTAAAATAAACTAGAATTGCTCTTGGATTAAAAGTCAGCTTTCCTTCCATGGCCTGCCTACAAGGCCCACATAACCCACATGTATTTCTAGCCTTCTGTTGTCTTGTGCTTCCCCTAATCTCTATATTCCAGTCATGAAAGCCTGCTTTAGATTCTTCTGCTCATAGTGCTCTTGTTAGGAGTCTTTGCATAATTAGTTCTTTTTGCCTGGATTAGTTCTTCCCCTAAGTTAGTTCTGTTGGTATTAAGTATCACTTCCTTCAGGAAGTCTGTTTGCTCACTCTGAAATGATCAACTTTGTCCTGTCATAAGCTCTTATAAACTGTATGTATCTTCTTAAAACTTGTCATGATTTATGTTTTACATGTCTTTTGTGTGTGTGTATGTGTGTAATTATTTAATTGCTTTCTGATTCATCAGATTGGAGTTAGCAGACTGCTATAAAAGGCTAGATGGCAAATATTTAATGCTTTGTGAGCCTTCTGGTCTCTGGTACATTTCCCTCTGCTATTTTGGCATGAATGTGAATAAACAAGCATTGCTATGCTCCAATACAGACTTCATTTATACAAGCAGGCATTGTGCTGGATTTGGCCTTCAGAATAACAGTTTGCTAACCCTGTATCAAACTGTAATATCCATGAAGGGAGGAAATGTGTGTGTCTTTGTGTCTGTGTATCTGTGTATCTATTCTCCTTGTTACCTTCCAGACTTTTTTAGTCTATAGTAAGTAGACCCCAAACTTGTTGAATGACATTGACTAACTGATGACTGACTGAATTGAATCAAATAACTTTCATGATCTTTGGTTTCCTCAAGTCATAATAATCTGTTTCTCTTTCCTTCTCCTCCTCTTTCTCTGGTTATACAAATGAAACAAAATCAAGTGGTATATAAATGTATTAGGATGAAGAATTCTTTTTTTTTGTTGCTGTTGTTGGTCATGGGGTTTGAACTCTGGGCCTGGGTGCTGTCCCTCAGCATTTCAGGTCAAGGCAAGCACTCTACCACTTGAGCCACAGCGCCACTTCCAGTTTTCTGGTCGTTTTTATTGGAGATAAGAGTCTGATGGACTTTCCTGCACTAGCTGGCTTTGAACCTCCATCCTCAGGTCTCAGCCTTCTGAGTAGCTAGGATTACAGGCGTGAGCCACAGGCGTGAGCACAGGTGAGCACAGGCGCCTAGCTGGATGAAGAATTCTTTTAAAACTTTTATCAAAGAAAAATAACAGAATGGGGGGCTGGGAAGGTGGCTCAGTGGTAGAACACTTGCCTTGCATGCCTGAGGCCCTGGGTTCCATTCCGCAACACCACATAAGCAAAAAACAAAAAAAGCTGGAAGTGGGGCTGTGGCTCAAGTGGTAGAGCGCTAGCCTTGAGCTGAAGAGCTGAGGGACAGCGCCCAGGCCCAGAGTTCAGGTCCCATGACCGGACCCCCCAAAAAAAAGAAAAATAACAGAATGAAGAATCTTTGAAAGGAGAAAAAGTAAGAGAGTGGTAGTTACAAAATTTTAAGTAAGAATTCAGAATTCGTGATTTACTTTTTAGTTATTGGAAGAAGAGGAAGGAAATGGCCAAAACACTTTTGGTGTTAACCAATCATAAGTATGGTGAATGTGCAGAGCATGAACACAAGGCTGCATGAGGATGGAATGAGGCAAACAAAGCAGTCTTAGTTGCTAGTGCCATGTAAAGATTGAACAAATAGTAATGTTAGTATAATTGAGTTTTGCTTCCTTATTCACACCTACTCACCTTCAGTGATGTCATGGTTTTTCCATGTGGGAACAAGTATGACTGAGTGGTGGTGGGGAGTTCCCCCATCATCAGCTTTACAACACACATGCAAATCAGCAATATTTGTAGCTCTTAAGAAGTTTTCCATAAGTGACATTTTGAAATTTTGCTAAGTATTATTAGTATTAAATCACTTGCTAATAAAAAATTCAGTATTTCATATGATAATTTTAACTTTGTATGATATGATATGATATGATACAAAACTTAGTCTGCAGCTATTAGCTGTGAAGTGAGGGCTCACAAATCCGATCTCCAGGGAGTTAGAGTGTGGGGTAGAGATTAGGTACAGGAGGAGCAGCAGGTCCTTGAACGCTGGAAAGTCATGAAGAAATGGAGACACACGTCTAAGCACCAACCAGTTATTTCCATGCCCACCTATTGTTGCCAAACCACTAAAATGTTCAAGAAAAGCCAGAAATCCAGTAATTGTTAGATTTTTAAATTTTGGTAATGTATACAATCTTTTTTAAATGTAGACAACATTCTTACAAACTCAGCAAAACATATCTGTGGGCATAATTTTATACCTTTTGCCTTATATGATCAATATGCAGGTTTTAGTGATTCAGATCATGAATTTATAGGAGGTAAATTTTTACCTTTTGGTGTTGCCTATTCATCTCTATCTGCTTTGGTAATTAAGCATGTTGGTAAGATGTAATTATAAAATATATTAAAAATAGTACTGATACACTGTTTTAGTTATTCTCTTAGAAATTTAACTACTTCTTGACTCATATCTTTATCATCAGAATTAGAAATTCAATTTATGCTTTAATGTCTTCTCAATGGTAGATATGTGTTTGTTTTCTACAGTATTCTGTTTGCATGTAATACAACTTTGAAAGTTTTTTCTTTTCTAGTTTTCAAAATTTAGGTATCCGATGTGTAAAGAAAAAAGAAGTAAAAGAAGTTATTATTTCAAGAATAAATGCAGGAATCAATCCTTTCAATGGTATGTTTGAGACAATCATTTCTATTATTTAGATACTTTAACTTCCTGGGTAATTTATATCATGATCCTATATTTTATTTTATTTTATTTTTTTTGGGTCTGGTCATGGGGTCTGAACTCTGGGCCTGGGCGCTGTCCCTCAGCTCTTCAGCTCAAGGCTAGTACTCTACCACTTGAGCCACAGTGCCACTTCCGGCTTTTTTTTTTTTTTTTTGCTTATATGGTGCTGAGGAATCGAACCCAGGGCCTCTGGCATGCAAGGCATGTGCTCTACCACTGAGCCACCTTCCCAGCCCCCAGGATCCTATATTTTTTTGTGTTCACTTTTCTGCTTGTTGACTTACACCTGTATCTGAGGAATTAACTATATTTATTTTTTTGAATTTTTTTGAATTTTTTTTGAATTAACTATATTTAAAATCTGTCCTTGTTTTTTCTAAGAAAACCTTCTCAAAAATGTTCTGGTTCTCTCTCTCTCTCTTTTTTTTTTTGTCGGTCCTGTGACTTAAACTTGGCCTGGGCGCTGTCTAAGCTTTTTTGCTTAAGGCTAGTGCTTTACCACTTTGAGCCACAGCTCCCCTTCTAGTTTTTGGGTGGCTAATTAGAGATAAGAGTCTCACAGACTTTCTTGCCCTAGCTGGCTTTGAACCACAGTCCTCAGATCTCATCCTCCTTAGTAGGTAAGATTACAGGTGTGAGCCACGAGCACCCAGCTCCGATTCTCTCTCTCTTTCTCTCTTTTTGTTGGTCATGGGGCTTGAACTCTGGGCTTGGACGCCATCTCTCCACTTTTCAGCTCAAGGCAAGCGCTCTACCACTTGAGCCACCGAATTTCTAGTGGTTTATTGGAGATAAAAGTTTCACAGTTTCCTGGCCGGACTGGCTTTGACCCATGATCCTCGGATCTCAGCCTCCTAAGTAGCTAGGATTAAAGGGGCGCCCCACCTCCTGATTCTCCTTTAATATGACTTTCCTTCTGCCACTCTTCCAACAGAATATACTTCCCTTTCTTATTTCTGAATACACAGTTGTATTGGAATACATGTAATTCAAGGATATATTTACCAGCAAAGCTTATTCCTAAATATGGAACACGATATACAGAATTAGAAGCCACACAAACTATTTTCATAGTGTATTCATGTATATAGTTATATATAATATCTATGGTATATATATAATATAATATATAATATATATAAGTATTATAATATATATTGTATATGAATCATTAACTCTTATTAGGAATGACATTAAGAATTTATTCTAGGATAATTTCTGTGTAGCTCCTGATACATTTTAACATTGTTGTAAACAAATATTTACTGAGTTAAATGCTGACATCTCTCTTCTTTTTTTGGTGCTGGTACTAGTACTTGGATTCACGATCATGTGATCTCAGCTTGTTGGGTCATGGCTGGCACTCTACAACTTAAACCACTCTTCCACTCCCAGCTTTTTGCTAGTTAATTAGATATAAAAGTCTCAAATTTGTCTTCTTCAGCTGGCTTCAAATCCCAGTTCTCAAATCTCAGCATCTTGAGTAGCTAGGATTATAGACACCAACTACCAATACCTGGCTTTATAGGAGTCATTAATACCTTCTGAAGGTACTTAAATAAGAATGTCAAGTCAGATATGGTGGAACATACCTAAAATTGCAGCCATTTAGGAGACTTGAGTCTGGAGGATTTTGCGTTGAAGACCAACATAGACAACATAACATGTCAAATAAAGAAAGAAAGAGAAAGAAAAAGCCAGGCACCAGTGGCTTACTCCTGTAATCCTAACTACCCAGGAGGCTGAGTTCTGAGGATCATGGTTTGAAGCCAACCTGGGCAAGAAAGTCCATGAGCCTCTTATCTCCAGTAAACAGTGCTGGAAGTGGCACTGCAGCTCAAGTGGTAGAATGTGAGCCTTGAGCTGACCAGGCTCTGAGATAACGCCCAGGCCCTGAGTTCAAAATAAAATAGAAAAATAAAATAAGATAAATAAGAAATAAAATAAAAAGAAAGAAAAATAGACAAAAAAGCCAAACAAGTGCTTGAAGCCTTGAGTTCAAGCCCTACCACCAGCCCAAAAAAGAAAACTAGGCATGTCAGAAATTAAATGATTAGGCCAGAAGCTGGTGGCTCACACCTGTAATCCTAGCTACTCAGAAGGCTGAGATCTGAGGATCCTGGTTCAAAGCCAGCCCAGGCAGGAAAAGTCCATGAGACTCTTATCTCGGATAAACCACTAAGAAAACCAGAAGTGTCACTGTGGCTCAAGTGGTAGAGCACTAGCCTTGAGCTGAAGAGCTGAGGGACAGCACCCAAGCCCAGAGTTCAAGCCCCACGACCGACCAAAAAAAAAAAAATTAAATGATTATAAGTTTGTCATTTTAAAGACATCTTTAGGGGCTGGGAAGGTGGCTCAGTGGTAGAGCGCTTGCCTTGCATGCAAGAGGCCCTGGGTTCGATTCCTCAGCACCACAAAAGCAAAAAGAAAAAAGCTGGAAGTGGCGCTGTGGCTCTAATGGTAGAGCGCTAGCCTTGAGCTGAAGAGCTGAGGGAAAGCACCCAGGCCCAGAGTTCAGGCCCCACAACTGGACCCCAAAAAAATAAATAAATAAATAAAGACATCTTTATTTTGATTCTTAATTATCCTGGATATATAAAAATAACTTAGGCTGGGAATTTGGCTTAATGGTAGTGTGCTTGCCTAGCATACATAACCAGAAAAGGTCAGAAGTGACACTGTGGCTCAAGTAGTAGAGTGCTAGTCTTGAGCAAAAGAAATTCAGGAACAGGACTGAGGCCCTGAATTCAAGCCCTAGGACTAGCAAAATATAAATTAAAAAAAATAATTTAAGAGACATGATGATAATTTAAATAATAGATTCACAATCAGGTACTGCTTTTTATGAACCATCAGTGAGCATTGCTTTTCTCTAGGTCTTTACTTTCATAGAATTTAGTGTAGAGCTGAAAGCAAAATTCCATTACCCTTGTTTGATCTTAGTTGCCAGAGATACACTGTTAAGTATGATACATATTTTTCTTTCTTTCTTTCTTTCTTTCTTTCTTTCTTTCTTTCTTTCTTTCTTTCTTTCTTTCTTTCTTTCTTTCTTTCTTTTTTGTCAGTTGTGGGGCTTAAACTCAGGGCCTGGGCACTGTTCCTAAGCCTCTCTGTGCTCAAAGCTAGTAGTACTCTACCACTTGAGCACAGTGCCACTTCTGGCTTTTTCTGCTTACATGGTACTGAGGAATCGAACCCAGAGCTTCATGTATGCTAAGCAAGCACTCTACCACTAAGCCACATTCCCAGTCCTGACACATATTTTTCTAGAATTTCTGTTATACATGTATGGTCATATATTAACATACAATAAGCCTGCCTTTTTTTTCAGATTTATTACACATGGTTTTGACCAAGCACATTCAAAAAATAATAATACATTTTTTAATTCAAAGAAATTTTAAAACAAAAATTTTATATAGTTTAATTTTATGTAGGTTATATAGTTAAAAATGAGTAGAAAAGAAGGAGAGGAGGTAAGATTAAAATGGAGTAAAGTAGATCATTTTATTTATAAATATATATTATATATATATATATATTTTTTTTTTTTTTTTTTGGGTCCGGTCGTGGGGCCTAAACTCTGGGCCTGGGCACTGGTCCCTCAGCTCTTCAGCTCAAGGCTAGCACTCTACCACTTGAGCCACAGCGCCACTTCTGGCTTTTTTTCTTTTTGCTTATGTGGTGCTGGGAAATCGAACCCAGGGCCTCGTGCATCCAAGGCAAGCGCTCTACCACTGAGCCACCTTCCCAGCCCATAGATCATAATATATTATATGCAGTTGTAATTATCACAGTGAAACCCCTCTTGTTCAAAATATAAAAAGATCATATAGCTGTATAGTTTTTAAAGAAAAAAAACCACCTAAATGGCCTCCACATTTAGTCACATATACAACTCTAATATCTATCTGTCCTTTACTTTCTTCCACTGCTTCATGAACCCTTTACTATTTTAGAAAAACTTTTGTTCTCCCTCTCAGTCCAATCCTCTCTAATCTTTTCAATGATATTGTAAGAATATGAACTTGCTTCATTTTTGTTGTTGTTGTTGTCAATTGTGGGGCTTGTACTCTGGACCTGGGCGCTGTCCCTCAGCTCTTCAACCACTTGGGCCACAAGCGCCACTTTGGGTTTTCTGGTGGGTTTCATTGGAGATAAGGGTCTCACAGACTTTCCTGCCATTTCCTGCTTTGAACTGTGATCCTCAGATCTCAGCCTCCTAAGTAGCTAGGATGACAGGTATGAGCCACTGGCATCCAGCTTTGCATCATTTTTTAATTTAGATCGTTATGTTGACAGCCTTTTAGGCATTAAAAATAAAAAATTAACCTTCCTAACTAACAAGATCAGTTCAGAACTTTGATCATGTCCTTCAGTGGCTCCAAATCAATTTCAGCAGTGGTTTTCAGTTTGAATGTGTATAGGAGTTCCATGGTATTTGTTTAAAATGTAGATTCAAGGTTACATTTTCAGGTTTGGTGTGGGACCTGGGAATCTGCTCTTAAAATCAGTGCTTCTTAACTTTCCCAATGACCCACCGTAAGAAATAGATTTACTTCTCTAGTCCATATGTAGACATGCGCTCACCATGTCTTGCTAGCATACTCTCCACTCTTTTCTGTTACCTACTTTTTTCCATTTGTTAATTCGTTTGTTCCTTTCTCCTCTCCTTCCTTATCAAACCCACAAAATTAATTTCTGTTACAAGTGAAGCATGGATCTTCACATTTTGAGAAGTTCTTTTTTTTTGGTCGGTCATGGGTGTTGAACTCCTGGACTGAATGCTCTCTTTGAGCTTTATCTCTCAAGGCTAGTGCCCTACCACTGAGCCATCGCTCCACTGCTGGTTTTCTGGTAGTTAATTGGAGGTAAGAATCTCACAGCCTTTCCTGTCCTGTCTGGCTTTGAACCATGATCCTCAGATCTCAGTCTCCTTAGTAACCAAGATTGTTATTATTGCCATCAACATTTTAGGTCTAGATTCCACATACAATTGAAAACATAGATAAGAATGTTTAAAACTTGAGAATATTTAACTGTCCTCTAGAAATTTGTTGAAAGAGAGAATTGTAGTAATTCCTGCAAGATTTAGGAGACTGGATTTAGACAGGACCAAATATATATTTGTCCTCAGTTCCTTGGGGGGTGGGGGGGCAATCCCACAGCTTGAACTCAGGGCCTGGGCAGTTCCCTGGGCCACTTTGTGTTCAAAACTAGTTCTCTGCCACTTGAACCACAGTGCTACTTCTGGCTTTTTCTGAGTAGTTTATTGGAGATAAGACTCTCATGGACTTTCTTGCCCAGGCTGGCTTCGAATCATGATCCTCAGATCTCAGTCTCCTGAGTAGCTAGGATTACAGCCAGGCATGAGCCACTAGTGACAGGCTCATAGTTCCTTTTTGAATGTGTCTATTATTTATCAGAAACTGTTTACTGAGTACCTGCTAATAGTAAAAGGCATTCCTGAGATCGTGTACCATCCTATTTTTGTTAGTATAGATTTGAATGCTACTCAGGTTATTGGATATGGTGGATAAGGGTATGACCTAGCAGGATTTAGCTCTGTATGACAATTCTGCATTCTAAAACGCCAATGTACTATTCAGTCCCTGAACAACAACTGCTTGACATTGAAGATTGTGACCTAAAAGTGGTGAGACTGTGTTTTCAAGTGTTCCTTCCTGATGAATGTGGTAATTTGACAAAAGCTCTTCCTCCTGTTGTCTCTAACCCAATTTATGACAACCGTAAGTACATTTTCTTATATTATAGTCTTATCTTAAAAAAAAAAAAAAACCTTACTGAGCTACACTCCATGCCCTACATTGTCTGTTCAGTTGCTACATATTTCATGGCTGAATCCTAATTAAAAAAAATAATTACCCTAGATAATCTGTTTTATTTACTTCTCATCTTTTTTTTTTTCCCTAACAATTATACTGCAGTAAATGTCTGTGTACACTATATATGTTATGCAGCTATATCTCTGAAGTAGAAATGTTAAATGCTGCATCAGGGCTGGGAATGTGGCTTAATGGTAAAGTGCTTGCCTAGCATGCATGAAGCCCTGGTTCAATTCCTCAGTACCACATAAACAGAAAAAGCCAGAAGTGGTGCTGTGGCATAGTGGTAGAGTACTACCTTTGAGCAAAAGAAGCTCAGGGACAGTACCCAGCCCTGAGTTTCAAGCCCCAGCACTGGCCAAAAAAAAAATTAAAGATGTATTTGTCTGAAAACATTGTGAAATTGCCTTTTACATTTAATACACACACACACACAAACATGCATGCATGCACGCACACACATACACAGAGAGATATGTTCACCAGTGGGATATAGCTATACCTGCATATAGAAAGATAATGGGCCATACAGCAATGAAGGTAGATCTAAGTATCCTTGTCACAGAGAGCTTTGAATGCCTAGAAGAATGAAAGTAATCATGTTGGGAAGAAAGAAAGAATTATGAAAATCTCATTGCCCAAAAAATAAAATTATGTTGCTCTAGGAATATGGTCAGTGATATAAAAACATTAGAGCTGAGGTGGTAGACCAGGCACTAACTACAATCCAGGACTGCTCCTGATGACCATATGTAATATAGATGAGAAGAATCATAATGTTGAAACAGGGAGATTTATTTAGAAAAACGTTACTATCTACAAATGAAGTCACAAGGTTCTAAATCAAGTTAGGTAAAGTAGTTATCTAAAAGTAGGATAGATGTGAATGCTTAATGTATTTCATGTCCTTTATTTTCACACTAAAACTTTCATCTGTTCTGTTAATAATTTGTCTTCAAATTCTATCATGTAGTAAAAATGTCTTACTAACATAGCAACCCAATTTTTAAAATTCTTTATACATAGGTGCCCCAAATACTGCAGAATTAAGGATTTGTCGTGTAAACAAAAACTGTGGAAGTGTCAAAGGAGGAGATGAAATATTTCTACTTTGTGATAAAGTTCAGAAAGGTGATTATGTATTTTGTTTGTTATATTGAATTAAGAATGTATTTTAGATTCAGATGTACATTTTTCTTTGATTCTTCTATCATTACTACTTCTTTGACTTCTTATTCACTAGATGATATAGAAGTTTGTTTTGTGTTGAATGATTGGGAAGCAAAAGGTGTCTTTTCACAAGCTGATGTACATCGTCAAGTTGCTATCGTTTTCAAGACTCCTCCATATTGCAAAGTTATATCAGAGCCAGTCACAGTGAAAATGCAACTGCGAAGACCTTCTGACCAGGAAGTTAGCAAATCTATGGATTTTAGATATCTGCCAGATGAAAAAGGTATAGTACTTTGGTAGTAATGATTTATATATTCCTTAAAGTAAGATGCATTTGAGTACAGTTTTGGGTATTCATAACCATTTTTTTCTTGGAAGTTTTCACCCTTTTTTTCTTCTTGGCATCAATTTGAAAAAAAATCAAAGTTTCTAAAAATGTTTATGAAATTTTCTGTTTTATTTTGGGGAGTCTAATTTTGTTTTTTTATATCTTTTTTTTTTGTCGGTCATGGGGCCTGAACTCTGGGCCTGGGTGCTGTCCTTGAACTCTTCAGCTCAAGGCTGTGCTCTACCACTTGACCCACAGTGCCACTTCCAGCTTTTTCTGCGTATGTGGTGCTGAGGAATTGAACCCAGGGCCTCATGCATGTAAGGCAAGCACTCTACCACTGAGCCACCTTCCCAGCCCTTTTGTATCCTTTTTATAGATAGAAAACTTGCTGCTCAAGAGAGTATTTTGGGGTTCTTAATCAGACTTTATTGATACTGATCTACAGATATCACAAGAAAACAAGATGAATATAGACTTTTTGTTTGTGAAATGGGTATTTGGTATATAGTCTAGGCTGGTCTTGAATTTATGATCCTCTTAAGTCTCAATTGTTGGGATTCTGACATGTGCAACCGGGCCAGGTTTTTAAACCTTTTTATTAAGAGGAAAATAACGCTTACTACTGATGTGGGATATATTCTATATTACTAATACTTATTAAATCAATATGATGGGCATTAAAGCATTTTCTATGCACAAATAAAGTGCCTGTCTGTTTGAAGTGCATAATCCCCATGATCTTTCACCTGCTTTCCTGATTTCCTTTTAATCAGATACTTATGGCAATAAATCAAAGAAACAAAAAACAACTCTACTTTTCCAGAAACTGTGGCAGGATTGTGGTAAGAATATTTTGGATTGATTCATATTTAAGTAGATTTTGCTTTATTTACTTTGCTCCATTTTTTTAAAATTTAACTGTAATTTTTAAATGTAATTTTTCAAATTACATTTAATAATAGAAAATCTTTATTATAACAGCTAATTTTCCAGAGAGAGCAAGACCTACTCCTCCAGGGTCAACAGGAGAAGGAAGATTCATCAAAAAAGGTACCTTATCCTCTGAAGGATATTCCCAATGATCAGAAAGAGTGTTACTTCATACAATATATTAGAATTTCATTTTTTAGCACTAAGTACTACTTTATGATATTTTTTCTCTCCCATAATTTTTTAATGCTTTCAATATTAAATGAATTGAACTTGGCCTTTAAAGGTTATGTTAGAAACTTACTGTGTTTGGGGGATTTGTTGTTCAAGAATTGACACTTTAAAGGGCTTCAGGAGTAACTCAAATGATAGAGTACTGGGCTTCAATTTTCAGTACTTAAAAGTTATCTTTTATTAATACAGTGCTAATTTTATTTTCAATGTGTCAATGGAAGATATAATTTAGATCTGGCTAGTTACCAATTTTATCAACATAGCCAGTGACTTCTTGATTCCATTCTGGCTCTAGCTGTCACCATGTGTCTGCGTGTGCCTGGCTGTAGCTATCATGTGTGTGTGTGTGTGTGTGTGTGTGCGCGCGTGTGTGTGTGTGCGCGCGCGCGCATGCGTGCGCGCTCGCATGTGCCACTCACATGTGTGCATGCACACATGCATATATGCATATGTTTACACTGTTGCAACACTGTTGAATAGTTCCAACAGAGGCCATTGGAACAAAGCAAAAATTTGCCAACCTCTGGATTAGATAATTCATCCAAGAAAGGGTTAGTGGGAAGTCCTTTCTTTCTTCTTGTATCTTCAAATTAGCACTTTTTTCTCAGTTTACTATATACAGTAGTTGCATTATACATTAATAAGTATGGAATTAATTTTTCCATTAATTTTTACTGTAAATTTTGTAATGCCTTACAGTTATATCTTGGTATGTTCTTAAAGTATATTTTTCAGTCCTTCTGAATGTTTTCTCCATCATTTCATCTTCTAGATGAAGATTTTAAGATGATTTTGGCTGTTTGATTTTTGTTCATTAAAATTCTGATATTTGTCTTTTTTTTTTTTTGTCGGTCGTGGGGCTTGAACTCTGGGCCTGGGCGCTGTCCCTCAGCTCTTCAGCTCAAGGCGAGCGCTCTACCACTTGAGCTACAGCGCCACTTCCGGTTTTTTCTGGTTGTTTATTGGAGATAGGAGTCTCCCGGTCTTTCCTGCCCGGGCTGGCTTTGAACCACGATCCTCAGATCTCAGCCTCCTGAATAGCTAGGATTACAGGCATGAGCCACCAGCGCCCGGCTTGATATTTGTCTTTTTAAAAATATATTCAGAACAAAAATATATTGCTAAAAATAAATCAGAAATTAAATTTTCATGTTTAACTGGAAATGTCATATGCCAGTGACTTATGAAAATCATTTTACAGGTATATGTTACAGAATTCAGTTTGGAACTTGTATATTCGTTTGAGTTTTTTTTTTTTTTTTTTTAAATGGGTCCGGTCATGGGGCCTGAACTCTGGGCCTGGGCGCTGTCCCTCAGCTCTAGCCACAGCGCCACTTCCGGCTTTTTTCTTTTTGCTTATGTGGTGCTGAGGAATCGAACCCAGGGCCTCAGGCATGCAAGGCAAGCCTCTACCACTGAGCCACCTTCCCAGCCCCTTTGTTTGAGCTTTAAAAAATTTTTTTCATGCAAGCTTGGCACCGCTGGCTCATGCATATAATCCTAGCTACTCAGGAAACTGAGATCTGAGAATCAAGGTCCAAAGCCAGCCTCAGAAAATCCTTGAGACTCTTACCTCCCAAGTAACCAGCAAAAGGCCAGAACAGGAGATATGGCCCAAGCCATGAATGAAAAAGCTGAGAGCAAGAGACCCTGTTCAAGCCCCAGTGCTAGGGGGGAAAAAATTCAAAATGTTAGATCAGTTTCCTTTTTGTTTTACCCGTGTATTATGATTTTTAACTTAGAAATAGTGCTTGAAATATTTTATTCATTGTAACTTTGTAAAATGTATTTTCTTCCCACAGAATCAAATTTATTTTCTCAATGTGCAGTTTTGCCAGAAGTGATCAAGACTTCAAGTGATTCAAGTCAAGCAGAACCATACTATTCCTCACCTGTGTCTATCTCAACTAGATTACCACATCATGCTTCTACCATTTCCTCAGTGGTACCTCAGCCTTCTTCAAATTGGTCATCAGTAGCCCAACTCACCTCACGTCCAGTCAACACAAATCCATTGAATAGTTTATCAACAGGGACATTTTCCTCTTCACAGGGTATCTCACCATTTCCAGACATGCCTTCTGTTAATAATTTACATGCTCCTAATGCCTGCATTTATAATAATGCTGATGATATAGGTAGAATGGAAGCATCATCCATTTCATCAGCTGACTTATATAGTATTTCTGATGCGAACATGCTTTCTAATTGTTCTGGGAATATTATGACAACCAGCAATGATCGAATGAGGGAAACCGATCATCCAAGACTTGTGAGCATGCATCTTGAAAACCCCTCTTGTAACGCAATGTTAGACCCAAGAGACTTGAGACAGCTCCATCAGATGTCTTCTTCCAATATGTCCACAAGCACCAATTCCAATACTACTGGTTTTGTTTCACAGTCAAATGCATTTGAGCAATCTGACTTCAGTTGTGCAGATAACCATCTGATAAATGAACCGGAACCATCAATTGATACTAATCCAAACAATCATAATTTTGTTCAAAATAATCAGTATTCAAGTATTGGTATTATGCAAAGTGAGCAATTGAGTGACTCCTTTGCATATGACTTTTTTTAAGTATAATTTGCAGGGTTTATTTTTATTTGTTGGTTATTTTTTTGTTTTTGTTTTTTGTTTCTTTTGGTTGTCAGTACTGGGGTTTGAACTCAGGGTCTCACACTCTCCCTCACCTTTTTTGCTCACAGCTGGCATTCTACCACTTGAGCCATTACTCTAGTTCCAGCTTTTTGCTGGTTGATTAGAGATAAGAGTCTTGAAAATTTGTCTGCCTAGGCTGGTTTGTGCCTTGGTTCTCAGATCACAGTTCCTGCTTAGCTGAGATTATGGATGTGAGCCACCAGGGCTTGGCAACTTGCAGAATTTTAATTTTTAAATGTTCGGTCATTTTGATAATACATACATACATGCATTCATATATATATATATATATATATACACATACATACATATGTATTTTGTATTTGTAAAATACAATATGGAATTCTATTTATTTTTGAGAGTTCCAGAATTTTTTTTCAGAGAAATATAAAACTTTAGATATTTAAGATGCAAAATTGAAAATGGAATATTTTAAAATAGACATTTAAGCCAGGTCAGTGTCTGAAGCCTGCTTAGTAAGCAAAGATTAGAGGATTATGGTTTGAGGACAGTTTGGGCAAAAAGAATTTCACAAGACTCTGTTTCAACCTATGGTTAGGTACAGTGGTGATGCACTCTTGTTAGCAGCTACAGGGGAAGCCTGACTTCTGGGCACAATGGTGCCCACCTGCCATCCCCAACAACATGAGGAAGCACAGGTAGGAGATTCATAATCCAGTCTGGGCTAGGCAAAAATGAGACCCAATTTGAAACATAACAAAAGCAAAGATTGGAAGTGTGGCTTAAGTGACAGACCACCTATCTGTTAGACAAAAGGCCTTGATGAATTCAAACCCCAGTACTGAAAAAAAAAAAAGAATTTTACTGTTTATTTCTTCTTTTCAAAGATCTGACCTGATAATCATGTGTGGTGCGAATTCTAAGAATTACCATTTCCATAGGACAGATTTTGAAGAGAATGGTAAAGTTAAGGTTTAGTTTTCCCTGATTAAAAAAAAAATACTTCTTTTGTAATGTATTAACGTATTTCTAGCTAAATGAGTTAACTCACATTTGCTTTCAAGCAATGTCAGTTAAGATAAACTTGTAATGGCTGTGCCATTGAGAAAAATAAATTTATTATTTTTGAGGCCCTTAGGCCAAGCTGACCCCTACGGGGTTTCCTCAGGCCTCTAGGGATTTCTTAGATTTATATGTAAATCAAAAATTCTTTAAATGTTAAGTTGGGTAGAAGGCAGTTGAAGTGAGCTTTCATAGTATGGGAGGTTTTATACTATTTAACCCTTTAAAGTTCCTTAGGATTTTAGTGTTACAGCCATTTTTCATGAAGAAGAAGAAGTTTCCATGGACTTCTTGTATTCCCTCACTTTTAGTGATCTCATAAAACTGCCTATTTGACATGTTTATCAAGAAATCTAATTAAAGCTCATACTCAACCTATCCAAACATAAGTTTTGATCTTCCTTCCCTAACTTGCTTCTCCTTCAGTCTTCCCCAACTCAGTAAATGGCAATGCCATGCTTCTAGTTGCTCAGGCCAAAACCTTGGTGTCATCCTTGATTATTTCTTATATTTCCTATATCCAATCCATCAGCAAATCCACTGTTAACCCAAGCCACCTCCTCGCTTTCCAGGATTAGCCTCAAAAACCTTCCTTACATCCTGTGCTCTAGCAATTCATAAAAACTGGAGTAATTATTCACACAAAACTACGAAGTGATTCCCCACCTCACTCGGAGTAAAGGTCATGCCCTTAGAATTAGCAGACCTAGACTTCCTATCCTACCTCATGTTCTACCTTTTCCTTCCTCCTCATGAAACTGACTCAAAGCACTCTGATCTCAGTGTTCCTTTTCAAAACACCATGTACATTTCTATCTTAGACTCTTTGTTCTTGGTACTTTGTTCTTTCCCCAGATACATACACAATATACTCTCTGTCATCCTTTGGGTCTCAGTCAACTGTTAACCTGGTCAAGGCCTACCTTGACTAAATATCACCATTTCCTGACCTTCCTTTGTGTAGGTTCACTGCACTTAATTATGATCTGACCCTACTAAGCATTTGTTTGTTTCTTTTACTGGAATATAAGCTCCATAAGGGCAAAAAACCTGTGTGTTTTGTTTACTGTTGAATCTCTAGTTGTAAAATATTGTCTGCCTCATATTAAACACTCAGTAAATATTTATTGAACATTTCAGGTGTTACCAATACAACTTTTATTTTTGAAAGAATAGCTATAATTACTAGATGTTTGTGATTTTTACATTTTATTTAATATGATGTTTGGTTTTTATTAGAATCGTGTACATTGAAGTACAGTATTTATAATGATAATCTAAACTGTTTGGAGTTAAAATAATCCCAATGGTAAAATGGAATTAGAATTATGATGGAATTATGATGCTGGATAATGTAGTGAATATCTAGTCTATCTTACAGTTGGAACCTACTCAAAATACTGAAGATATTCCTAGCTAGAATCAATGTGTTATTTCACTTATTTCATGTCCAATCAAACCATAAAATTACATGAATCATTTCAGTCAAATGAGGTGGAAATAGACCACAGTTCAATTTCTGCCTGGGTAAAATATAGTGAGACCTGTCTCAAAAACAAGCCCGGCATGGTGGTACACACCTGTAATTTCAATTACTCCCAATTACATGGGATGCAAAGATAAGAGGATTGTAGTCTGAGGCTAGGCCAGGCAAAATGTGAAACCCTATCTGAAAAATAAAGGCAGAAGGACTGATGGTATGGTTCATGTAGTAGAGCCATCACCTAGAAATATGAGGCCCTGAATTTAATCCCCTAAAACCCCAAATATTTAATAGGAGCCTCAAAATTATATTTAAATCTTCCTCACCCTCATACTTAGTCCTTTTGAATCTGCTTCCAAAAAAAAAAAAAATCATTCTTGAGTAGCTAGGATTATAGGTGTGAGTCACTCAGCCGGGCATTAAAAAAAAAAATCTTCATTCTTACTGCTAAGTAAAAGCCTTTTCTTTTTTCTCCCAATAAATCTTTCCCATATGCTCTGATTTAAAACACCAATTTCCTGTATAGCTTATTATAGTTAAAAATGTTTTTCCTCAGGCTCTATACATGTTACCTATTCGGGTTCTGCTCTTGTACAACTAGACAACTTAGCCTTTATGTGTTTTTGTTGTTTTGTTTTTTCTTGTTGTTGTTGTTTTGGTTTGGTTTTGGTGCTGGCCCTGGGGCTTGAACTCAGGACTTGGGCATTGTCCCTGAGCTTTTTTTTTTTTTCCCTCAAGACTAGTGCTGTACCACTTGGAGCCACAGCTCCAATTCCAATTTTCTTTTCTTTTTTTGTAAATTGGAGTTAACAGTCTCATAGACTTTCTTGCCCAGGCTGCATTCAAACCATGATCCTCAGATCTCAGCCTTCTGAGTCACTAGGATGATTGTCATGAGCCACTGGCACCTGACCAGACAACTCATAGGCTTTAATACCAGGCTTCTCTCTCCTAGCCTTGGTCCCATCTCTCTAGTTGAGATGCAGCATGCAAATGCCCATATTAATCTTCTCTCACTCACTGGATTACAATTAAGGGTTTGCTTCACTTTTCCCAGATTCCCATACCTACTACAGTCCCTGACATAGATGATGCTGGATAAATGGTAGCTGTTTATTAAGAGGGAGGTAAAAATGACATAGGCGTGAATACAAAACTGGGCAAAAATATGGTTTTTAAAGGGAAAATACTTAACCTTGCAGAAAAAGCAGTGATGCCCAGATGACTTTTTTGTGTGAAATATACTGCCTCTGTATGTGCATGTTTTACTAGAATTTAGTTTTTTTGGGGGGTCTGGGGGGTCTGGCACTCTGTCACTTGAACCACAGATCCACTTCTAGGTTTTTGCTAGCTAACTGGAGACAGTCTTACAGACTTGCACCCAGGGCTGGCTTCAAATCATGACCCTCAGATCTCAGCCTCCTGAGTAGCTAGGATTAAGCCATGAGCCACCAGTGCCCAGCTCCCTTTCTTTGTAAAAGCCATCCTGTATCCCCCTGAGACTGAAAGTAGCTCTACTAGCATATTGAGTAGGAATTTTAGTTACTAGAAGTATTTCTTAGCCCTGGCATCCCTTGCTCTCTCCTGTCTCTCTTTATCTAATGTACTTCATTGACACTCCAGTACCCCTGTAGACACTCAAGTATTCATGTAATAAGTCATATGTCACATTTTAAAATGTCTAATACATAAAGCAACAGGTACAGGAAATGAGATGTGAATGAAATTAAGCCCTTGCTATCTTGTTATATTTTTAATGAGGGATAACATACAAGGTCAGCTGCATGAAGTGGAATGATTTTAATTGTACACTTTGAAGAATTTTTACATATATAAACATCTATAACCACCATGTTTATGAAGTTTCCTTCATGCCCTTTCCCAATCTGTACTTCTAAGCACCCTGTTTATGAAGTTTCCTTCATGCCCTTTCCCAATCTGTACTTCTAAGCCACTATTCAGGTTTCTGTCATCAGAACCTCCTATCGTAATGGCCTTTAAATTTGTAACTGGGCCCCTCTTCTCATTATCCTATCAGCTGGGCTGCCAGTTTTTAACCTAACCAAAAAAAATTAGCTGTTTTCCATGTTGAGAGCAACTGAAAATTAGTGATTTAGACTGCCTAGGTGTTACAAATTAATTTACTGAAGGATAAACACATGCTGTTAAACAGCATGGAAAAACATGAAGAACTTCTTTTAGATAACTAAAAGAGCTGTAGATAGCTAGTCTACTTACCACATAGGGTGTGTTTATAATAAATAAAATAATGTCTAAGAGACACTAAATTGTGTAGTGCTACATTGTATGTATCATGTGGCCCAATTATTCTCTAGTCCCAGCATTATTCTTTTTTACCTAACGTCCAATAGAAAGCATCTATTAGATGCTTTATTAAAAAACCTGAGGAGTTTGGTTTTAGAGTGAATAGTTACTGTCCAGATCTGGGGAACCTTCTTTGAGCCTCTTTTTCAAAACTATTTCCTACCCGAAGTGTCAGCTATTGACTCACTCTTTAACTTCGATGACACCCAGTTTCTTTGCCAAAGTTGGTTGATTATGAGTTGGGAGTTGTCTGACTCCAATGACATGCTTTCATTTGTTTTATCTTCATGGGTTGAATATAAAATGTAGGAAATTAGAGTGTTCTTTTCATCACATATATAAAAAGTTTCATGTTATTCATTATTATAAGCTGAGTAGGTACTCAGTGTTAATGACAGTTGTGTATATTCAGTTTCATACAAATGACTTAGTCAAATTAATATTTTAACTAGAACATCATAGGATTTAATTAAAGCACAAGTTTAACAGAATATAAATTATTAAAAGTATCATACCGTACATCTCATGTATGTGAAAAAAGACCAAAAAAGTATGTTCTCACCATCCCCTTTAATAAACAAGATATAACTTACAAAATCTGTTCTAAATACAACTTTAAGACAAATACCATATGCTAGAAGGATTGTAATCCTGTAGTCTGAAACTATTTTCTACAAGTTCAAAGAATTACAGATAAAACATTATATGAGTAAAAATGTAAAATAGTACAAAATGTTGGTTCTTCAATAAATTGTTTTCAGGGATATTAAAACATTTTTGGTAAAATATTCCTTGAATTTCATCTTTGCCATTTTCTCCTTAACTTTTATTACCTAATAAAAACATTAGTTTCCTATCTTGGCTATGGGAAACTGCTGCAATGAAAATGGTTGTGTTGGTGGTCTTGTTTGTGATCTATTGGATAAATGCCCAGGAGTACTGCTTTCCAGAGTGGTTGAACAAGTTTACATTCCCACCAATAATGTAGTATTGTTCCCTTTTGACCACATACCCACCAGCATGTTATTGTTGGTTTTTTAATAGGTAATCTTACTGGGAAGAGGTAGAATTTCAATGTTGTTTTGATTTGCATTTCTTTTATGGCCAGAGATGTTGGACATGTCTTCATATGTCTATTAAACCATTCTTATGTCTTTTGAGAAGTCTCTAGCTCTTTAGCCCACTTATTAATTGGGTAGTTGTTTCTTTGAGAGGTTATGAGGATGCTAATTTTGTTTGAGCTCTAAGTATATTTTAGATACAAGGCCTTTGTTTGATGCAAAACTGGTAAAAAAAAAAAAAAAAAACTCCCATTCTGTGGGTTTTCTATTTATCTTGCTATGTCCTTTGCCATGAAGAAACTCTTCCGTTTGATGTAATCCATTTATCAAGTTTTGACCCGTGCCTAGGAGCCCTAGTGTTTCCCCTACCCTTTCCTGTAATATTTTCATGATATATGGCTTTACATCAAGGTCTTTGATCCATTTAGAATTGATTCTGGTGTACAGTGATACATAAGGATCTAGTTTCAGTTTTCTGTATGTGTATAGCCAGTTCTACCAGCAACATTTGTTGAAGAGGCTTTCTTCCAACCTGTGTTTTGGGCTCCTTCATCAAATATTAGGTGACTACAGTTCAGTGAGCTCATTTCTGGGTCTTCTGTTCCATTGGTCCTTGGGCCTATTCTTATGCCAGTACCAAGCTGTTTTTATTATTATGGCTTTAGAAGAGAGTTGGATGAATGGCTCCAGAAAATGTGGTATGTATATACAATTGAATTCTATGCTTCCATAAGAAAGATCATTTGTAAAGAAATGGAAGGACTTGGAAAAAATTATTAAGTAAGCCAGACCTAAAGAAACAGGTTGCATGGGTTCCCTCATTTGTTGTAACTAGAATATGCCTATAAATCTACACAGACATACTGGATGGTAAAAGACAAAAAAAAATACACTTGGACATAATAAATTATATAGAACTCTAGACATCCACACAGTGAGACCAACAGAGGATATTCTTAGAGGTTCACAAAGATTCAATAGCAATGTGATCATATAAAATGATATTTATCAAAATGAACTCTTAAGAAATGGAATCCAGAGGTTTTTTCTTTTTCTCCTTTGTTGCCATTTTTGTTTTCTGTACCTTTTGTCCTGTATGCAAGTTTATCTGTTTTGGGAAGAGTAAGGGGGAAGAAATGGTGGGATTAAGGGCGAACAAATGCAGCAGTGATATTCACTAGACACTATGTTGAAAATGAGGTATGCAACTTGTGGAATAGTCAGGAGGGAAAAACTGGGAGAAAGTGAGGGAAGGAAGGGGTGACACTGTACAAAAACAAATGTACTCATTACTTGACTTATGTAACTGTAACCCCTCTGTAACGATAAAAAAATTGAGAACCTAGAAGTAAAAATTATTATAATAACGGAAGTAAAAATTATTATAATAACAAAAAACATTGTTTTCCATAAAATGTAAAAAAAGAGATGAGCATATTTTGGGATGCACTTGTGGAATTGAATCTCATGAGGCTTGGTGACTACTTGTTTTTTTACTAGGTATTTAGCTGATACTGTTGGTCACTGATACAATTCAGGTAGGATGAGATGGAAAGAAAAAGGGTGGGGGTGATGAGCATTCTTAAATGAATAAAACCTTTGGAGGTGACTTCTGTTTTACAAGTATGTACTTTGAAATACCGTTAGTAAAGGATGGAAGGAGTGACATTGACCAAGATACATTTTACTCATAAATTGATATGATAAAATGAAACCCTTTTGCATAACACTTTAAGATAATTTTTTAAAAAAGAAAACAAACATTAAGCTGAATGTGGTGGCACATGCCTATATCTCAGCATTTGGATATGAGGCCAAGAAGGTAATCTAAGCCCAAGAGTTTAAAACCAGCCAGAGCAACACAATCAATCACATGGTCTATAATGAGTTCATATTGTAGCAGAATAGCAGAATTTTGTTTTAGATAGTAATATGGAGGTACTGGAGAAAAAGTGGTCTTTCAGAGTTCTCATGTCTGTTTAGCTGTTCAGAGTTGAGCTTTGTATTAAAACGTACCAGTATTTTTTAAATGAAAACATGCCTTTTGTTGTACAGACTATTTTATGACCTTTGTATTTTCTTAGTAATGCAATAAATGGAAAAAATTCTAAAGCCCTTGCTAAAGTCTTATTTGACTTTTAAACATCAACCATATTCTCTTAATATTTATAGCATTTTCCTTAACAAGGAAATGCTCCAAACATTTCTTAGAAACATTAAATTTTATGGAGACCTGAAGTGACTTTAAAGACCTTTTTTGGGGGACGGGGGAGCCTTATACAAGAGAAAATTTCTTTTACAGAAGGTAGAAGTCGGCAGGGCACAAGTATGGTTGGTCCTTAGAGGCACTCTTGGCTTGCAGATGGCTGCTCTCAGCATCTCACATGATGAGAAAAGGGAGAGAAAAAAATTTTAATTGAACAATTTTGAAATTTTATATCCTTTGACCAGTATTCTCCTCAGTTCTTCTCATCTGCACACCAATCCTCCAAGCCCAGAAAACAACCATTCCACTCTCTGCTTCCATTCAGCTCAACTTTTTTAGACTCCACATATAAATAATGATGAAGTATCTGTCTTTTTGTGCCTTGATTATTTCACTTCTCACAGTCTTCCAGGTTCATCTATGTTGTTAGAAGTGACAGGATTTCCTTTTCATAACTGAATGCGTACTATGTACCACATTTTAGTGTGCTGTGAACTTGTGTTTTTAGTATTTAGATTTTTTTCCCAACTGGACATACGGCTTAGCTGTATAGTTTGCCTAGCAAGTTCAAAGCCCAGAGTTCAAACCCAAATACCACCTCGCCCCCACAAAAAAATTTTTTTTAATCTATGTTAATTCAAGACAATGGTTTGAAATTCTTTTTTAGTAATGTCTGGCTTTGGTATCAGAGTGAGGATAATCTTGTAAAAGTATTATTCCTCTTCATTTTCTTTGGAAAAATTTGAGAAACATTGGTATTGCATCTTCTTTGTATGACAGAATTTATCAGGTGCTAGGCTTTCTACTTTTTTTAAATGGGAGATTATTTGCAACTCAATCTTAATTAATTATTGGTCTGTCCAGATTTTATTTATCTCAACGATGAGATCTTGGTAGTTGTATGTATCAAGGAATTGATCCATTTCTTCTTCTAGGTTATGTACTTCATTAATATACAAGTTTTTGGTAGTCTCTGGTGATTCTTGTATTTGTTATATTAATGTTTTTTAATATTCCTCTCTTTTTCTGCCCGACTCTTTCCCTTTCTGAACAAAGGATAAAAGCCATTTGCTTGTTCTGTGAATTACTTAATATTATCGGTTCTGCCTAAAGACCTACATTAATTTTTAATCACTTGTGTCTCGTATGAACATTTAGAATAAGTATTTATACCTGTTTACTCTTTGCTTAAATTTTGTATATCAGGAAAATAGTTTGCTAAAGAAATTCTCAATTTTTTCATATTTCAGGCCCACTAGGTTTTTTGCTTTGTTTTGTTTTGTTAGTCATGGGGCTTGAACTCTGGGCCTGACCACTCTCCTTCAACTCTTCAGCTCAAGGCTAGCACTCTACCAATTGAGCCAGAGAGCCACTTCCACTTTTCGGGTGGTTAATTGGAGATAAGTGTTTCATGGCCTTCCCTGCCTGGCTGGCTTTGAACCACGATCCTCATATCTCAGCCCCCTGAGTAGCTAGGATTACAGGCATGAGCCACTGGTGCCTGGCCCACTAGATTTTTTTTTCCCCAAATATACTCATGTTTTTTATAAACATACAGATGACTGTCCTAAATTACTTGAATCTCCTTTGTAAAAACTCTCAAAACTGAGAAATATCCAATTTTTACATTTTCATCGGTTTATTTCTGGTATTATTCTTATCTGTTATTGGAATCAGGAATGTTTGGTATAATTCATATATGATTAATCACATGGTTTCAAATTAGTAAGCTGACACTTTCATGTTGATGAAAACAATTTCCTAATGCCTAAAGTCAATCTTTGTGTCTATGAACTTTGTTTAGAGATGAAAAATAGTTGTCAAACACTGTCCTATTCACACATCCTAAAAAACAATAGCAAAAACAATTAGCTAATGGAAATTACACTTAAATCTGAAATTTTAGTGAGCCTTTCTGAAAATTTGCTCAATGACATATATTTTCTGTAGATTACTGTATTTAATATTTTCCTTCATGCTATTAATCATCTTATTAATAAATAATTGAGAATTTATAAAAAAAGATTTTCCCCTCTCCCCCTTTTGGTTCCTCAGTAACTACGTGCCAAAAGTCAGGGTTCATGCTGTGGAACTGGGATCGCAGATGTCTCCATCACAATAGGTGATGATAAGAAGAATATACCAGAAAGGATTCTAGAGACTAACTCATCAGTTCTAGTTCTGAATATGGAAGTAGCTAACAATTTTAGGTGTCATTTAACTTTTTATTCTTTGGTTTCCATATTTAGAGAATCTGTCTATTATTAAAAATCTTATACCTGGGCTGGGAAGGTGGCTCAGTGGTAGAGCGCTTGTCTTGCATGCCTGAGGCCCTGGGTTCGATTCCTCAGCACCACATAAGCAAGAAAAAAAAAGCCGGAAGTGGTGCTGTGGCTCAAGTGGTAGAGTGCTAGCCTTGAGCTGAAGAGCTGAGGGACAGCGCTCAGGCCCAGAGTTCAGGCCCCACGACCGCACCAAAAAAAAAAAAACTTATATCTTTCACTTCAAAATGATTCCAATTTCTCTTTGTTTAGTATCTCAAATTCTCAACTCTGAGACGAAAGTTATCAAAGGCACTTGTTTTCCTTATTTAAGAGATTTATGACTAGCTTTTAGCAAGGTATTCCTCAATTCCTAAGGTTCACTTTCTCTCCACAGGAGAAATGTACAGACCATTTTAGCATACCAAAATAGTAACCTGAAGTCATTAAGATTTGTGACAGATCATACACCAAAGTACTCTCATTGGTAACAGCTTGCTTGAAGCTTATCAGGTAAAAAAATTAATGATGTCAGGTTTGAACTTTGTATCTCAGAATATTATAGATTATGTTTCATAAATCTGATGGTAACTTTCATTCAGGTAATTTAAATTTTTTTGGAACATGATTTTTAAAGGTAGTATGTCTCCTGTGGAAGAAATCTTGCTGAGAGAAATTACAATTTCTGAGTCCAACAGAGTATTTTGTGAGTACCTCTTTGAATGAATTAAGAGGAAATGGTTTCATTACTCATAGTTTGATTTGTGGGAGAGAGAATGAGAAAAATTTTAAGACATTCTTAGAACAATTCACAAAATATACATATATGTAAATCCTGAGATGTTATAACAGATTTTAAAACAGATCAACATGATCTAAATGGTTTCCAAGACACCGTTATGAAGGGTCAACAGCCATTTTCCAGGATGTCCACATTATGACAGGAAATCTCTTTGTCGGGTTCAAAATTAAGTCAATCATCCAGAGCAGGTGGCCAGTCAACATCTACAGACTAGAAGAGACAAAACAGTAATTAAAACAAATATTCTGGTCACCATATGATAATAGTTTTAATATAATGCAACAGAAGAAATTAGATTTGATGGAAAGAGCTACTGAATTTAATATTTCTGAAGTTCATAGCAGAAATATTTGGCTGGTCTGTTTCTGAATGAACTAGCAATATTTTTTATTTTTATTTTTTGGGGGGGTCTGGTTGTGGGGCCTAAACTCTGGGCATGGGTGCTGTCCCTCAGCTCTTCAGCTCAAGGCTACCACTCTACCACTTGATCCACAGCGCCACTTCCAGCTTTTTTTCTTTTTGCTTATGTGGTGCTGGGGAATCGAACCCAGGGCCTCATGCATGCAAGGCAAGCGCTCTACCACTGAGCCACTTTCCCAGCCCAAGAGATACAATTACTAACTAGACAAATAATCAAATATTGCTAGTTCAGGGGCTGGGAAGGTGGCTCAGTGGTAGAGCGCGTGCCTTGCATGCCTGAGGCCCTGGGTTCAATTCCTCAGTACCACATAGGCAAAAAGAAAAAAGCTGGAAGTGGCGTTGTGGCTCAAGTGGTAGAGCGATAGCCTTGAGCTGAAGAGCTGAGGGACAGCGCCCAGGCCCAGAGTTCAGGCCCCATGACCTGACCCCCCCAAAAAAAGTAAGTGTATCTCTTGATTAATAAGACAATAGAATACACTTTCCATAAGCATTCAAATTCAGATAATCATACCAGTTTTTCCTCAGAAGATTTAACAATTTTTATTCTAATCATTTTCCTTCAGCTTTGTATTTAAGAAATCTAGTCATGAGTCATTTAACAATCATGCTATACTTCTGAGAAATGCATTAAGTGATTTCATCACTGTAAACTGAGGACTTAAACTAAAACAGCTATGACATCTTTAAGTGACACTGTCTTATAAAATCACTATTGATTGGAATAGGATTATGTGGTGCAGGGTTGTACTCAATTGTCTATAAACCAATAGTCTTATTTATAACTTAACAAATGAATATGAAACATCTAGAACTGAAAACAAGATCTTTTCACTTCACATTTTTAATCCAATTCATCTCTACCTCTATGTACTTTCATTTTGCTCTTCTAGACTAAAACCTTGAAATAACAACCACTTCACTTTTGTCTCCACCTAAACAAATCACACTCTACAAGTGTCAAGGTACACCTTGTCTTAAAATAGAAAACTTATTTTAAGAGAAAGCTCTTTAAAAATAAATCCAGCTAGATATTGGTGGCTCACATCTGTAATCCTAGTTACTCAGGAGACTGAGATTTTAGGATTACCATTTGAAGCCAGCTTTTGCAGCAAAGTCTGTAAAACTTATCTCCAATTAACCACAAAAAAAGCTGGAAATGGAGCTGTAGCTCAAGTGGTAGAGTAGTAGCCTTAAGCAAAAAAACTGAGTTCAAACCCCAAAACTGGCACGCACACACACACACACACACACACACACCACACACCACACACACACACACACACACACATCAAATTCTAGCTACTCCGGAGGCTGAGATCTGAGGATCACCCTACAAAGCCAGCCCATTCTTTGAGACTCATATCTCCAATAAACCACCAGAAAACTGGAAGTGACATTGTAGCTCAAGTGGCAGGGCACTAGCCTTGAGCTGAAGAGCTCAGGGACAGCGCCTAGACCCAGAGTTCAAGCCCCTACTGACCACCACACAAAAAAAATTCAGTGTACCCATGGCTTTTTGGTTGTTGTTGCTTTTTTGGTTGTTTTTTTTTGTCGGTTGTGGGGCTTGGACTCTGGGCACTGTCCCTCAGCATTTCAGCTCAAGGCTAGTGCCCTACCAATTCCGGCTTTTTCTACCTATGTGGTGCTGAGGAATGGAACCCAGGGCCTCATGCATGCAAGACAAACACTCTTACCACTGAGCTGCCTTCCCAACCCCCCACGGCTTTTATTGATTCTTAAATTCTAAAACATACAACTATTTACTAAAAGTATTGTTTTCACTGATCTATTTACTTTCAGATTAATAAAAATTATTAGTAAAGCCCAAATAACCTGTATTTTACAAATCTCAAAAATATAGTTTGGTGATTTTTCAGCACAATGATAGAAAACAACTACCCATATTTATATCAAGTGGTTTCTCAAACAGATAATTACACATCAGTAATCACAACTGTGTGTTAAGGGCAGGAAGGGTAGGCATACAGCACTGTTTAAAACTATTAAATGTGAACCCAGAAACTGATGGTTTACACCTATAATTGAGCTACTCAGGAGGTTGAGATCTGAGGATCATGGTTCAAAGCCATTCTAGGCAGGAAAGTCCATGAGACTCATTTCCAATTAACTAGCAACCTGCTGAAAGTGGAACTGTGACTCATGTGGCAGAGAACTAGCCTTGAGCATAAAAGCTCAGGGACAACACCTAGGCCCTCACCAGGACCTGGGGTGTGTGTATGGATACATATCTATATCTATATAATATCTATATACTATGTAATATAATATGTATAATATATAGATATATAGATATTATATATTATCTATAGATAAATATAATATATATCTATACATTCATAATAGATATATCTATATATTTATTATATATCTATATATTATATATATCTATATCTAGATATATCTAGATATAGATATATCTATACATCTATATATCTATTATATACATAATAGATATATCTATATCTAGATATATCTATATATCTATTAATAGATATATCTATATAAAATATAATATATATCTATATATAGACAGGTATGTTACATGTGACCCCAGTGGAAAATCAATCCAAGGCTGAAAACCCATTATCTGTGATTCTAACATTCGTAAGCTGTTCTATAAATAAATGAAAAAAGATGATACAGACTGAGGATGTGATTCAATGTAGAGTGCTTGCCTAGTATTTGTGAGGCCTTGTTTTCTATCCTCAAAACCCCATCACACACACACACACACACACACACACACACACACACACGAATGCAGTTAGGATTTTCTTTTCTTGTCTGCCTGCTTGCCTCTCTCTCTCTCTCTCTCTCTCTCTCTTCATTTTTTTTGCCAGTCCTGGGGCTTGAACTCAGGGCTTGAGTACTCTATCACTTGAGTCACAGCACCACTTCTGGCTTTTTCTGTTTATGTGGTACTAACAAATCGAACCCAGGGCTTCATTCATGCCAGGCAGGCATTCTACCACTTAGCCACATTTCCAGCCCCTAGGATTTTCTTTAACAGAGGGCTGTCTTCCTTAAAATCACAAGTCTCACTGAAGAGGCTCCCTGCAACCTTGAAGGCATTTCGCTGCTGCACTGCAAGAACTATATAAAACCTAACTGAAAGCACTTGGGAGAACTGGTAAAGTAAGCATGATCATTTCATTGCCATATTGTTTGGTTTATTTTTTTTTTGTCAGTCATGGGGCTTCAACTCTGGGCCTGGGCGCTGTCCCTCAGCTCTTCAGTTCAAGGCTAGTGCTCTACCACTTGAGCCACAGCACCACTTCTGGTTTTCTGAGTGGTTTATTAGAGATAAGAGTCTCAGAGACTTTCCTGCCCAGGCTGGCTCTGAACTGCAATCCTCAGATCTCAGCCTCCAGAGTAGCTAGGATTACAGGAGTGAGCCACCAGTGCCCGGCCTGCCATATTGTTTTTATATTGGGCAATATAACCACTTCTTAACTTTTAAATTATTCCCAAGTGAAAATCCTAACCTCTCCTAAGATTTTGTGTGGGTGTAAGGGTAGGCAGGAGCTTTCCTCCTAACCAGAGTTCCATCAAGAAGCATAAATTGGTGATTCAACATACTAATGCTCACATGAAAAAAAAATTAGGGAGAATTACCAAAAAGATACATTGTTCTAATTACTGCAGAATGTAACTTGTCTCAGTTCAAACCTTAAGAGCAGAAAGTGTCATCACACAGGTCACTTACTGAACTGCTTTGAACTATATCATGGAGATCCCTCAAGAATGGTTTTGTTTTATAATGTTTTGTTTTAGACAGGATCTTGCTAACTACTTCAAGCTGGCCTTAAACTTGTGGACCTCCTGTCTCAGTCTCCCATGTGCTGGGATTATAATCATGTCTTGCTTGAGAATCTCATTTCCTTCTTGTGTCCCAAATACACATTTCTAAGCAAGCTGCTTTAAATTCTTTCTTTTTATTTTTTTGCTGATACCAGTATTTAAACTCAGAGCCTCACAATCTCGCTTGGCTTGTTAGCTCACAGCTGGCACTCCAATATTGAGTCATGCCTCTAGCATGGTTTTTTGCAGGTTATTTTGAAGATAAAATTTCCCAGATTTTTCTGCCCCGACTGGCTTCGAACTGCAACCTCTGAGACTCAGCCTCCCGAGTACACAAGATTATAGGCATGAGCCACCAATATCTGTCTTGCATTCTTTCTAAGTGCTTTTTGTAAGTCAAGTCATGAACTTTCAGAACTTTAGGAGGCCTTATTTATTCATTAATACACATATGAACATACTTTTTTTGGCTAAAATTCTTAATAAAATAGGTGTGGAAAGGACCCTCTAGAGTCCCAAAGGACATTAAACTTTTATTTTCTTTAGTGATTTGAGAGTTCAATCTGAGTTTAATTTGCAAATCAGCAAATGATGGTAACTGATACCAATAAGTAAATTTGCTATGTATTCCATAAGGATCATAAATGTTATCTTAGTCACAGGTGGTGATGTATGCTTATAATTTCTGAGAGACTGAAGCAGGAGGATGGTGAATTCAAGGCCAGCCTGGGCTACATAAAGAGATGTTTTAAAGAAATATAAATATCACCTGATGTGGAAGAAATAGTTGGATTGTCAAAGCTCATAAAATTCACAAACCTTATAAACCATGATAATGACAATTTGCCTTGTGAAGGTTAAAATGTGTTTGTGACTTTAAGTACCACTATTCCACAATACTGAAATATGTGAAATTTATGTAATCACCTAATCTCAAAAACAAAAAAGTTTCAAGCAGGTGTCAGTGGCTCATGCCTCTAATCCTAGCTACTTAGGAGGCTGAGATCTGAGGATCACAGTTCAAAGCCAGCCCAGGCAGTAAAGTCTGTGAGACTCTCATCTCCAATTAACCACCAGAAAACCAGAAGTGGCACTGTGGCTCAAGTGGTAGAACACTTACCTTGAGCTGAAGAGCTCAAGGACAGCGCCCAGGCCCAGAGTTCAAGCCCCACAACCAACAAAAAGAAAGAGAAAAGAAAGAAATATTTCAAAAAACAAACAATAACAATACTAATAAGTTAACAATAATAGTGATACCTTATATTTAAAATAAAAATTCAGATAACAGTCCCTCCCTGCAATACAATGCAGCAGTAAGATTTTTTTTTTTTGGTCGGTTATGGGGCTTGAACTCTGGGCTTGGGCGCTGTCCCTCAGCTCTTCAGCTCAAGGCAAGCACTCTACCACTTGAGCTACAGCGCCACGTCCAGTTTTCTGGTGGTTTTATTGGAGATAGGAGTCTCACGGTCTCTCCTGCCCGGGCTGGCTTTGAACCGCGATCCTCAGATCTCAGCCTCCTGAGTAGCTAGGATTACAGGCGTGAGCCACCAGCGCCCGGCAGCAGTAAGATTTTTTTTTTAATCATTTTTCAGATACTTGTAAAGGTTGTGCTACTTGGTTTAATGTCAAAGGACCTAACTGGTTGAATTAAATTGATATATGCATCCCACAACAAAACGATTTACCTCCACATCCAGCTCAAGAATGTCTGCGGTCACATTCATCAGAGAGCCAATGTTTGGTTTGGTCCTCCCAAAATCTCCGTGTACAAACTCTTTAATGTAGCTGGGGTCTGTTTAAGGAAAGTGAGGATAGCTATGCAATCTCAACTACTGAATGAGATTTTACAAGTGGAAGGGAATTAATAAAGAAAAAAATATTCTAAAAGGTCATTTCTGAGCTCTGACTAGCGGAAGCGTGTGCCTCAGAAAATTAGCTGCGGCCAAGTGGTTCTCAGGCTGGTAGTCACTATTAACCCTAGAACTTGTGTTTACATTAAACTTAGCAAAAGCCGTCGCTTTTTTCTTTTCTTTTCTTTTGGGGAGGTCCGGTCATGGGGCCTGAACTCTGCGCCTGGGCGCTGTCCCTCAGCTCTTCAGCTCAAGGCTAGCGCTCTACCACTTAAACCACAGAGCCACTTCCGGCTTTTTTATTTTGCTTATGTGGTGCTGAGGAATTGAACCCAGGGCCTCAGGCATGCAAGGCAAGCGCTCTACCACTGAGTCACCTTCCCAGCCCCCTCTTTTCTTTTTTCTTTTTTTTTTTTAATAGCTCATCTCAAAATGAGATAAGCCAAGTTTGAGGGCTAGAGTATGGCTCAAGTGGTAGAATGCTTGCTTAGTCAGCATCCGTTGAATGAGTTCAAACCCATTTCATTCAATGAATCAAAATGTCGGTTTGGGCATGGATTCTAAAAATTACAGTTCAGTGCTTTTTTAAAAAAATATAAAAGACAAGTTTCTTTGGCACAATTTCCATTTTGTTATCCTTTGGGTCCCATTATTCATGAATTGACAATTGGCATCTTAGCAGATGATAGGGTTCCATGGGATCACATACAAAGCAACGCCAGAGACGGCGCTCCTAGTAACATAACCCAATGGCAGGCAGTTAAGATGAAGGGACAAAGATAATATTAGTTTAGATTTGACAAGTCCTTTACAAGAATTATAAATAGATTTCAGTACTAGTTGGTTGCTAACAAGAACTTACTTTTAAAGAACTAGCAGAGTTCAAACCCCACGACTGACAAAAAAAAAAAAAAAGAACTAGCAAAAGAACTCTTTTAAGTTCTTTTTTTTTTTTTTTTGTCAGCCGTGGGGCTTGAACTCAGGGTTTGGGGCTGTCCCTGTGCTCTTCAGCTCAAGGCGAGCGCTCTACCGCTTGAGCCACAGTGCCAATTCTGGGTTTCTAGTGCTTTATTTGAGATTAGAGTCTCACAGACTTTCCTGCCTGAGCTGGCTTTGAACTGTGATCCTCAGATCTCAGCCTCCTGAGTAGCTAGGATTACAGGCGTGAGCCACCGGCACCCGGCCTAAGTTCATATTTTTAAAGGAACAACTTTGTATTTCCCGCACAGGCTTTTAATTTTAGAAGGGAATAATTAATTTTGGAACTTGTCCTTAGTAAGATTATACTAGTAAGAAGGCATTTATCACTTCATGCTATTGGGTCAAATATACATGTGTGTGTTTTTGTGTGTGTGTGTGTGTGTGTGTAAATTCACACATATATTTTGTGTATACATATCCATCGATATATAGGCAATTATATATATTATATATACACATATGTGTATGTGTATACACATACACAAGCTAAAAAACAAAGCATGAGCTTTGGGATATGGACATTGAAACTCTGAATCCCAAATTTTTCTAATTATAACACAACCAAAATCCTGTAGTCTTTGAAAACAGTATAATGTCAGGCTAGATGCTGGTGGCTCACAGCTTTAACTCCTAGCTATGGAGGAGACTGAGATCTGAGTATCCTGGTTCACAGCTAACCTGGGCCAACAAATCTGACAGACTCTTATCTCCAATTACCCAGCAATAGAATTGAAAGTGTGACTTAAATGGAAGAGTACATACATGGATGAAAAAGCCAAGTAAGAGCTCAAGTCCCTGAGTTCAAGCCACCTTACTAGCACAGAAAACAAGAAAATGGGACAATGTCAGCACAACTTGACGTAAATGGTTAACCAAGTTGATACAGGTCAAATAAATGATATGTGCTTTGTTGTTGTTGTTTCACAAGGCAAGTAGAAAAATATTCTGTTGTTCTGGGCCATGTAAAGTAACATTGACTGTGCTGACACATATTTGCATTCCCAGTATCTAAGAGGTTGAAGTAGGAAGATCAGCTGAGCCAGGAGTTCACCATGGGCTACACAGTGAGAGCTCATCTCAAAATTTAAAATAACGTAGCATGATTCCCTCATATCACCTGTGTTCAAATGCTTGAAATGCCAGAAAGACCCAAACGTTGTTGTGAAAATACATGGCTTACAAACTCTGTAAGGATAGAGGATTAAGGATTTGGTCGAGCAGTAGACCGACTGCTTAGCAAATGCAATGCCCTGAGTTCAAATCCCAATACTGACCCCCTGGAAAACAAAATGCGCAGGGGCACAGAAATGGACAAAGGATAAACAAATGCAGCAGTGATACTCACTAATACTATGATGAAACCAAAATATACAACGTGTAGGGGGGATAGGAGGGAAAATGTGGATGAGAGAAAGGGGAGGGATAACACTGTCCAAAAAGAAATTCATCCATTACCTGACTTGTGAAACAGTCATCCCTCCGTGTATCACCTTTATAATAATACAAAATTGTAAAAAAAAATTTAAAGAAGTGCCGGTGGAAAATGAGTTAATGAAAGGTATTTTGTGAGTAGATCTATGTGCTAGACGTTATGTAAGACACACATTAATTGAAATATAAACCTTAGCAAACACAAATGGGGGAAAAAAAAGACCTCAAATAAGCCAAAAGAACGATTCCTCTCTAATATCCTTTTCCTAACGCCTCCCAGACCAACCTGAACCTGTTTTCTGGGGCGGCAGCAGCACGCCCTATAGGAGTGTGCTTGAGAGCACTGCAAACAGAGGTGAAAGGATACGTTCCAGCTTGAGTCTTCAGGTAGAGGCGAAAATGATGCTCATCCAGGTAGTGCGCCTCCATGGAGTGGATGACACGAGTTCGCACAGCTAACGGCCTTCGGTGGAGGACCCGCAGAGGTGTTTTCTGGTCAATCTTTAAGTCCTAGAGGAGAACATGACACCTTTCTTAGCTTCTACACTACTACTCATAGCTCAGTACAGTGCTTTCTCCGAAGGACTCAAAGGGTAGGAAATAACAAATGCTAGAATCAAGTATCCTCAGTCTCAATGAGACTTCTCATAATTATTCATTTTCTAGACCTACAAACCAAACCATCAAAAGAAGGACTTGGGCCTGGCACCAGTGACTCATGCCTTAAAACCTAACTACTCAGGAGGCTGAGATCTGAGCATAGTGGTTCAGTCAGCCTGGGCAGGAATGTCTGTAAGACTCTTATCTCCAATTAACTACCAAAAAAGCCAAGAGTAAAGCTCAAGTGATAGAGTGCTAGCTTTGAGCAAAAAAGCTAAGGGACAATACCTAGACCCTGAGGTTCAAGCCCCAGTAGCAACACACACACACACACACACACACACACACACACACGCACGCACACATACACATACACACACAAACACACACACATGGAAGTAAATGATCCTGAAGGCCTCTTCTGCTCTAATATTTAAAAAATCAGTTAGGACCTTGTAGTTCTATCTTGTCATCAAGAGTTCTTCTAGGACTGGGAAGGTGGCTCAGTGGTAGAGCACTTGCCTTGCATGCATGAGGCCCTGGGTTCGATTCCTCAGCACCACATAAGCAAAAAGAAAAAGCCAGAAGTGGCTCTGTGGCTCAAGTGGTAGAGCGCTAGCCTTGAGCTGAAGAGCTGAGGGACAGCGCCCAGGCCCAGAGTTCAGGCCTCACAACCGGACCAAGTGGCTCAGTGGTAGAGTGCTTGCCTTGCATGCGTGAGGCCCTGGGTTTGATCCTCAGCACCACATAAGCAAAAAGAAAAAAGCCGGAAGTGGTGCTGTGGCTCAAGTGGTAGAGTGCTAGCTTTGAGCTGAAGAGCTGAGGGACAGCACCCAGGCCCAGAGTTCAGGCCTCACAACCGGACCAAAAAAAAAAAAAGAGTTCTTCTAGAGGGTGATATGCTCACCTTTTTTTTCTAACTCAATAGTGACCTCACAGTAAGGAAATGGCAGGATACAGGGCTGCACCTCAGTACCACTTGTGCAGGTGGCAGTGTGCATGTTCTAGGAAGAATATGTACCTATATTCAATGTCATTTTCATCTTTGATATATATAAACAAAAGATGAATCATTGCCTGTTAGCTCAACATTTTAAAGATAAAAGCTTATTTTTCTTCATAGTTCAAATGAAGAGAATTTTCTGCTTCCAGATTTAAATTAATACTGTAAAAGATCAACTCATAAAAAATTGTTTATAAAAAAAAAGATCATTTTGTTTCGAAAACAAATATGCATAACCAGAAAGGTAGTTCGGAAGAACGTTAAACTCTGCAATTTCTTGTTGGAACAACTCTTCTTAATTTACATGACAGTAAGTGCCCTGAAGCACTGCTAAGAAAAGACAGCTTTCAATCTGGTCTCAAATCAAGTTCTCCTACAAGAAATAAAGAGCAAGTTCAGACTGATCACACTTGAAAAGATGTTACAGCTTCTATTAGAGCAGCCAGGATTTAAATCCTCCTAAGTCTGGCTTTTATGATTCTATAATGCTTTGATTTTATAAGTATTTTAAGCTGATGAATTGTTTACATAGACGTGACTCTTTTTCTGGCCAAAAAGATAATTAATTAGAAAATAAAGGACCAGGCCAAATGAAAAGCTGGGCACATGGTTTAAGAGGTAGAGTGCTTGCTTACCTAGCAAGTATGAATGAATGGGGATCTAACTAAAACCCCAGTAACACAAAACAAACAAACACCTAATAATAGGAGCTTGAGGCAGGAGGACCTTGAGTTCAAGGCCAACCCGGGCTATACAGCAAAACCCTGTCTCAAAAATTAAAACAAGCTGGGTGCCGGTGGCTCAGTTCTGTAATCCTAGTTGCTCAGGAGGCTGAGATCTGAGGACCACAGTTCAAAGCCAACCTGGGTAGGAAACTCCAGGAGACTCTTATCTATAATAAACTACTCAAAAAAAGGTGGAAGTTGTGCTATGTCTCAAGTGGTATTCGCTAGCCTTGAGCAAAAGGAAGTTAAGGACAGTGCACAGGCCCAGAATTCAAGTCCCAGGACAGTCCAAAACTAACTAACTAACTAAATAAATAAAAATACAACTACACAAAGACTGCACTATTGAGGAATCTAATAAGATACTGGAATCTGATGAGTGCTCTTCCCCAGCTTCTTTCTCTCCTGAGTCACACCAAGTATTGTCACACCCAGGAGCCAGTCGGTCAAGAGAAATAGCAACAGAGCTATTACACACAGGACTACCACTACTTCCAACACCCAGCCCTGCTTCCTTTTTGGTCTGGTTTAAAGTGAAAAAGAAGAAACTATTTCAGTCACTTTATTTCACTTACATTATACTATAACTATTTCATTTATAATATACCCCATTATCCCAACATTGCTGACTTTTCAAAAACAAATACACAGACTTCTTACTTAGAAGCGGGTTTTTTTTTGGTCAGTCATGGGACTTGAACTCTGGGCCTAAGCGCTGTCCCTCAGCTCTTCAGCTCAAGGCTAGTGCTCTACCACTTGAGCCACAGTGCCACTTCTGGTTTTCTGGTGGTTTATTGGAGATAAAGAGTTTCTCAGCCTTTCCTACCCTGGCTGGCTCTGAACCATGATCCTCAGCTCTTAGCCTCCAGAGAAGCTAGGATTACAGGCATGAGCCTGTATGTATTAAATGTATGTATTAAAGAAAATGTATGTATTAAAGAAAAAAAGACAGTGAGATAAGGAGTTAGTGGAGTAGTTCAAGTGGTACAAGTCTGCCTAGCAAGCATTAGGTCCAGAGGAGGGAGGAGGGGAAGACAATGTGAAGTGACTTTTTCTCAGAATGGAGAACTTGCATTTTATTATTTGTATCCCAATAGGAATGCTTGAAAATTAAACATATTAGTAGAAATCAACAAGTAACATCAGTCCATTTAATCTGTAACTATAAAAATCACCTTCTAGCATTACTTCTGAATTAGCTCTATGGAAATATCCAAATGGAACCTTTTTTCTTCGTAATGCTGGGGTCAAGCCCAGGGCCTAGGTCAAGATAGGCTCGTGCTCTACCACCACACTTATTTTTAAACATAAACTTACTTTTCCAATAGCATCCTGTTCATATAAGAAAGGACAAACTTCAGAAATCTGATTTGCAGGATGACATTGATCAAGATGCATTATATCATAACCTGCTTTGTTAAATTGCAACTCCTTTGTATAAGTACTTAAAGATAATAAAACTTTTTTTTTTTTGGTCTGTCGTGGGGCTTACACTCTGGGCCTGGGCGCTGTCCCTGCGCTCTTCAGCTCAAGGCTAGTGCTCTACCTCTTGAGCCACAGCACCACTTCCAGGTTTCTAGTGGTTTATTGGAGATCAGAGTCTCACGGACTTTTCTGCCTGGGCTAGCTTTAAACCTCAATCCTCAGATCTCAGCCTCCTGAGTAACTAGGATTATAGGCATGAGCCACCGGCACCCAGCAAGTAAAACATTTTTTAAATAATTTTTTAAAAATCTGTTTTGCAGGGGCTAGGAAGGTGGCTCAGTGGTATAGTGCTTGCCTTGCATGCATGAGGCCCTGGGTTCCATTCTCCAGCACCACATAAGCAAAAAGAAAAAAGCCAGAAGTGGTGCTGTGGCTCAAGTGGTAGAGTGCTAGCCTTGAGCTGAAGAGCGCAGGGATAGCGTCCAGGTCCAGAGTTCAGGCCCCACGACCGGACCCCCCCCCAAAAAAATATTCAAAAACAAAAATAATAAAGTCTGTTTTGCAGCTAAGTGCTGGTGGCTCATAGCTTAATCCTAGCTACTCAGAAGGCTGAGATCTAAGGATCATGATTCAAAGCCAGCCCAGGCAGGAAAGTCTATGAGACTCTTATCTCCAATTAATCACCAGAAAACTGGAATTGGTGCTATAGCTCAAGTGGTAGAGCACTAGCCTTGAGCTGAAGAGCTGAGGGACAGCGCCCAGGCCCAGAGTTCAAGCCCCATGACCAAAAAAACCCCCCAAAAAACAAAAAAAAATCTGTTTTGCAATTTTAAGATACCTGTTATATTATCTACTAACTTAATAGCCATAGATACCAAGGGCAAATACCTAAAAAGTCTTTAAAAGTCTTCAAAAAAGGCCTTAAATACCAAAAAAGTCTTAGTCACAGAATGGAAGAATTGGGGAGGGGATTGTGAGGTGGCACTGGAGGGGACGGGTCACTCCTGCTTTATAGCTAAGCTTCTCTAAGGAAGTGAATAATGCATGTTTCACCAAAACAATGAGACCATAAATGTTATTCTGTATTTTACTTTTTTTCTCATAGTGTTAAGGTGCTCCTATTAGTGACAGATTCAGATATGTGTTTATCTTTTTTGCCAACATATTTAGGCATGTATATATACACTAATACAAGTTAAATGGAATTATATGCTGTTTTGTTTTTAATAGCTGTACAATATTCTGATTCATTGTACCACTTCCTGTTGAGAGATCATTTTTATCCCCAAGCTTCAAATTCCTCAATCCTCAAGCTTCAGCCTCCCAGATGCTAGTATTACAGGCACGCATCATCATGCTCCCAAGGTCTTCACTGTTTCCAGTTTTGTTCTTGATTTTGCAACTTTGAACAAAATCAGCAAATGTCTCTACACATGTAGCTTTATATACTGGAGTTTTATTCCTATAAGGATGGTTGGCTTCTCACGCCTGTAATCCTAGCAACGCAGGAGGATAAGATCTGAAGATTGCAGTTTAAAGCCAGCCCAGGCACTAAAGTCCATGAGACTTTTATCTCCAATTAACCCCTACCCTGTCAAAAAGCAAGCAAGTAAACAAACAAACAAAAAGACTCAGGCCACATGTTAGTGGCTCATACAAATCTTAGCTATTCAGGAGGCTGAGATCTGAGGACTGTGGTTCAAAGCCAGACCAGGCAGGAAAATTGGTGAACCTCTAATCTCCGATGAATCACGGAAAAAGCTAGAAGTAGAGCTGTGGCTCAAGTAGTACAGCTCTAGCCTTGAGCAAAAAGCAGCTCAGGAATAGCTCCCAGGCCCAGAGTTCAAGCCCCAGGACCAGTCAAAAAAAATTTTAAAAACAACAAAACAAAAACCCAGAAACGGATCTGTGACTAAAGTGCTAGAGTAGTAGATTTGAACAAAAAAACTCAGGGACAGTGTCATAGACTGAGTTCAAGTTCCAGGACTGGCACACGTGTGCATGCGTGCACAAACATGCACACACACACACACACACACACACACACACACACACACACTATATGAAAGGAAAAGTATACTTTTTATTTTACATACAATATATAGAACATATAAAATATGTAAAGAATATATAAATAACATTTTTCTATGTTACTAAATAAATATCTACCACATTATCTTTAGTAACTAGGTGATTATAGTCTACTACATAGATAAACTACACTATTGAAGCAGTCCCCTTCAGTGGCTCATCTAAATTACTGCAAAATGTCACCTATTTAAATGTCATAGTAAATAATGTCACAGCTACCTCTTGTGCCTTTTATGCTCATTTCTTAGATTTGAAAGTATACTTGCTACTCAGGAAGCTGAGATCTGAGGATTGCTGTTTGAAGTCAGCCCAAGCAGGAAAGTCCATGATACTCTTATCTCCAGTTAACCACCAGAAAACTGGAAGTGACTCAACGTGGCAGAGTGCCAGTCTTGAGCAAAAGAGCCCAGGGACAATATCCAGGCCCAGAGTTTATGTCCCACAAACAAAAACAAAAGGTATATTACCTTTTTCTGGAAGCTGTGAAGGCAGGTAGGAAAAAATACATAGAAGAAGACACAGACCCTCCCTCAATGTAGTGGGGACAAGTAAGCCCAACTACACTATTTGGTACATGGCAGGGAAACACTTGTGCTTCTTGTATGCTTCTCATCAGCTGGCCTTGCGTCTGCCTGTATTGATTAGTTTATATAACATCCAACTAGCTATGGTATATGGTGAGTTTCCATGGTGTAACCTCTTTGAGCAATTACTAGTCTAGTAAAATAAATACCAGGAAGCTGAAATATGTCTTGTCTGAGGTGGGTAGGGACCAAGGGGAAAAGAATAGTTGAATGGAGAAATAGTGGAACAATACAGTGATAATACTCAATATACATACCTGAAAATCCGAGTAGGAAACTTGAGGAAACAGTGGAGATAGGATAAATAGGAGAAGAATGATGAAAGGGTGACAATGACCAAGATGCATTCATTGTACTCATGAATGGACGTGTTAAACTGAAACCCCTTTGTTCAACTATTTGAAGATTAAAACAAACACCATCCAAATGCATCTGGCAGAAGAAAGGCTCTACTCTGCGTCAGTAGCATGCCACATATGTGTTTAACATGCATCACTTTTATTCAGATACTTAATTTGAGCATCAACTCTACATAATTTTTATTTCTTTTTTTTTACAGATAACAATGATAGCATTGTTGCACACTTTTTATGTGGCTGGTAGCATTCTAAGTGTTTTATGTGATTTAAGTCATTTACTTCTCTTAACTAACTTTACAGATGAAGAAACTGAAACATAAAAAGGCCAAGTGAGGCCACCCACCAGTGGCTCATGCCTGTAATCCTAACTACCCAGGAGCTGAGATCTGAGGATCAAGGTTCAAAGTCAGCTGGGCAGCAAAGTCTGTGAGACTCTTGTCTCCAATAAACCACCAGAAAACTGGAAGTGGCACTGTGGCTCAAGTGGTAGAGCACTAGCCTTGAGCTGAAGAGCTGAGGGACAGCGCCCAGGCCCAGAGTTCAGGCCCCACGACCAGACCCAAAAAAAAGGCTGGGAATGGGAAGTGGCACTGTGGCTCAAGTGGTAGAGCACTAGCCTTGAGCTGAAGAGCTGAGGGACAGCACCCAGGCCCAGAGTTCAAGCCCCATAACCGGGGGAAAAAAAAAAAAAGGCCAAGTGACTTGCCCAAAGACACAAAAATAAGAAATGCAGATCTAGAATCTGCACCCAGACCATCTATCTTCAGAGTCCAGGGTCTTAATCACTGGCAATGAGTTAGATGAAGTGCCCAGTCATTCCTTTGCAAATGACCAAAGCCAGGATTTAAGTCCAGGCCTCACAGACCCCAAAGTGCATGTTGTGTAACTTGTTGTTAATAAACCAGAAAACATGGACTGATAGACAGAAAAAAAAATAAGTGCACTTACACTACCTTGATATCATTTAGGAATTCAGTGTCTTTCTTCTGTATTGGTCTATTTGTCCATATTAAGGCACTATAGGTCTTGGTCTTTTCTTCTTCACCTTCTTTCATATGTCCTATTGCCTCTCTAAACAAAGTAACAAAATGGAGTTTGTCTGAATATATAAAATACACGCAAACCTCCTTCCAAATTTCTCTTTTAAAATAACTTACACACATTCCCTTTATTTTAACTGCATAACTCAACGATTTTAGTATGCTTTCAGAGTTGTGTGGCTATTACCACAATCTAACCTTACAATACTTGCATCACCCCAGAAAGAAACTTCATAGCCATGAGTGGTCACTTCTGATTCCTCCTTTCCCCAGCCCGGCCCAGACCATAACGGATTGACTTTCCATCTCTACAATTTCCCTATTCTGAATACCTTACATCTAATGCAATCATACAGTATGTGGTACTTGGTGCCTGGCTTCTTTAACTTCCTAATACATTCAAGATTCATCTGTGATGTAGCATGTATAAGTATTTTATTGAATATGGTAACTAATCTTTTGAGAAACTCAGAGAATTTTGCAAAGTGGCCACATTTAGATCCCAATAGTAATATATGCTGGTTTTCTCTGCCAGTACTTGTTATTCTCTGGGTTTTTCATAGTAACCATCCTGGTGGGTGTGAGGTGGGATCTCTGTGGTTTTCATTTGCATTGCCCTAATGACTAATGATGTAGAGTATTTTGTTAAGTTATTCATGACTATTCATATATCCTCCTTGAAGAAATGTCTCCTTATCATTTCCCCCATTTTTAACTAGGGTGCTAAGAGAATTCTTCACATATTCTGGGTACAATTTCCTTACCAGATTATAATCTACAACTAAAATTTCCCTGTTGAAATTGTCTTCATGAGCCTACCCTTACCTTGTAACAAGCTGCAAATCACGTACTTGAATTTTGTCAGATGACTTATTAATTTTCTGTAGTAGTAGAAAAAGAAAAAACAATTAGCAGCACTAGCTTGGTTACATAGGTGCTGAAACATGAGGTTTCCATGTCATGAAGTGGTTTACCTGCTGAAGCTCCTTAATTTCTTGTGAAGTGAAATGTATTCTATGAGGATTCACCAGCTCAATTGCAAAGGGCCTTCCTGGCAGCACACACCCCATCATGAAACAGAAACGTGTCAATGGAGTTAACATTTGGGCTAATGCCAGAGGGTTAGGAGGTGTGAAAAATGAGTTAAGCTCTAGAGGACTGAAAGCTTAGTGATATGACTACATCTGGGGGAGAGAATGTGTGAAAGAATCAAGGGGCTTCTGGGGGACTGCAAAACCCCAGTATAGGCAGTAGGTGAAAATGACTGCTTTCCCAAAGGTCCATGAACAAGCCTGTGTTAATTACAAAATAAAATCCAACCCACTAATTAAGTTGGTTACACCAATGTAAGGTTGTCACAGGCAGCCAATGCCCAGGTATACCAAGTTGAAAGCCATTCCCCAGCCTAATCTAATCTAATGAAAAAATTGATTCCATGAGAGAGATGGACTACAGATGTCAAATAGCTCAGAATTAATTCTCATCATCCTTCTTATAATTCAACAGATAAAATGAGAGAAATAAAATCTAAAAGAGGAGAATCATTTTTAAGTGAAGAAGTATATTTTGGGGCTGGGAATGTGGCTCAGTGGTAGAGTGCTTGGCTAGCATGCATGAAGCCCTGGGTTTGATCCTCAGTAACACATAAACAGAAAAAAGCTGGAAGTGGTGCTATGGCTTAAGTGGCAGAGTACTAGCTTTGAGCAAAAGAAGCTCAAGGACAGTGCCCAGGCCCTGAGTTCAAAGCCGCAAGCCTGGCAAAAAAAAAAAAAAAACATTTTGGAATTACTGGTACTTCTGAAATATTATTAAATAAAATGATTAGTAATCAAACTTTGGAGAGAATGCACATAAACGGCTCTTACAACCTACAGATATGAACTAGGATGCTTCTGAAAAAATGTCTCTTGGTCAGACATGGATCATATAATTTACAAAGGAGCTCCATAATCTACAAGACCTCTCTCTTGGAGAAAGTTCTAGGCTTTGCCCTCGCTGTAACTATTGTTAAGTCTGCAGGTTAGAATGGGTAGAAATGGGAAAAAGCTAGTTCTAAGAAGGTGATGCTGATATAATCTTACCATTTCCTAATGTTCTCACATCTACATCTTCTCTTCCAGAGGATGAGAAATTAAAACCTTCGGGAAGCAGATCAAGGGAGGAAAAAAAAAATCAGAGACATAATATCCCTGAGATACTTGTTTCCAACTTCTGGTAGAATCTAATTTAAGGTCCTACCAGTTTACAGGAGAAACCCAAGGACTAGTTAGCCCATCTCTCATCCTAGTCTCTGCTGCAAATAATACAACTAAGAGCCCATATATCTTTGAGCACATGCACATGCACACGTACCACACACACATATACATACACAAATTATACATATTTAATTTTTATTCTAACTTTATGAAGTATTAAGTAAAAGACCATGCCGCAGAAAGCTATAGATAATTTTGACAGGATCACACAGTCAAGTGGCACAGCTAGGCAACTGATGTCAAAGCCAGACCTGAGTTGTCATCCCACGCCACTAACCCATGGAAAACCAAGGTGGAGCACTGTCTGAAGAATGCTCACATCCCTGGCCACTAGTTTATAAAGTAAAAATTTATCATCCTCTTTCTTTCTGTAAAACAAGACAAGGTCTAGGGTAAGGGGGAAGGGGGTGTTGCTTAAGTGGTAGAGCACCTGCCTAGCAAGCACAGGGCCTATAGTTCAAACCAAAAATCAAGGAAAAAACCTATACATTTAAGAATTAAGATTAAACTTAATGGCTCAAGCCACTAAGGAGGATCATGATTTGAGGCTAGCCCATTTATGAGATCCCGTAGCTCAACAAGGCCAAGCTAGGTGTGGTAGTGCATAACTATCATCTGAGCTAATTAAGAAGTGTAACTATGAGGAACATGGCTAAAGCAGTCTAGAAAAAGGTGAGATCCTAACTCAAAAATAACCAAAACTAAAAGGGCTGGAGGTATGGCTCAAGTGGTATAGTCCTGCCTAGCCAAGTTCAAACCTCAGTGCTGTCTAGAAAAAAAGGGGGGAGGGGTAGAAAAAAAAGAAAGAAAGGAGAAAGGCAAGAAGGGAGAGAGGGAGGGATCACTTTAGCAAGCCAAACCAAACCTTGTTGGAAACACATGATATTGTCTGTCATGTCACACCCAGGGAAGCAGGCCCCTCATAGGACCCAAAGCTATGTCTCATATAGAGGAAGGACTAACCTGGAGCTAGTATGCTGTGTTCACACCAGAAGACAGGCCATATGGGCATGAGATCAGGATCCTTCCCAGGTGGAGAACCTAGGATTTGCAGGGAGAAGGAATCTGGGGACCACTCAGTCCTAGAGACCCCTCCATTGTGTTTCCATACCAGTGTCATATCACATGGAAACCCACAATAACATCAGAGGCGTCTAGTCAGTCAACAGACTCAGAAAGCAGCATGAAGGAAGGATAGGTGCAATTAAGTAGAAAAGTCAAAACAGCTGAATGATGCATACTCCCTGAGTTCAGAAACACAGGTTTAGCAAATGTATGCTTTGTTTGTGGTAGTACTGGGTGAAAACTCAGGGTTTCACACTCACTAGACAGGCACTCTCCTGCTTGCGCTGTACCTACAGCCCTTTTTGCTCTGGTTGTTTTTTTAAATAGAATCTGAATTAGCAAACAAAAGAGCATCCTGCTAGGATGATGAATCTGTGTTGTCACATCCAGACTGTTCCGTTGAGATGTGGAGCCATGAACTTTTGGGCTGGGCTGGCCCTGAAGGCTACTACCTCCTGACCTCTCAGCCTTCTGGGTAGTCGACATTTAGATTTGTGCCCCACTGTGCCCAGGTACTAGTTAATGAGGTTTCATAAACTTTTTGGCCTAGGTTGCCTTCAAACCATGATCCTCCAGGTCTCTACCTCCCAAGTAGCTAGGGTTACAGCATGAGCCACTGAATTATGTCCTAAATTGATGCTCATAATCCGGAATTTCACACAAGGTTTTATTCCCTGATAAGGAGCCAGTGAGCCCAGAGGATCAGGTCTGCTTTCTCTCAAGATGCTCTTATTTGATTTCTCTAGTACACCTACTGAACATAGAATCTGGTTTATTTTTAGTGTGGAGATAATATTTCTCCCTTCATAAAAAAAAAAAATCACCTTCATAAAAGACTGCAAGGGGGAAACACACAGTTGTTTCAGAATCTTCCAGCAGCAACTGCGACCTCAGAACTGAAGATTCCTTATAGGAGGGAGTATGGTAGCCTCAAAAACAGATCTTACAAAAAGCTTTTAATGCTGTTTTCACTTCCTTACAACTGTCTTCTAAGATAATCAGTTTGTAAAAATCAGACATAGATGTAGATTCAGATATATAGATATAGATAGATATGTAACTGCATAAACCCACACAGGGTTTTTTGGTGGTACTGGGTCTTGAGTATGCTAGGTAAGAGCTCTGCCACTTGAGCCACACCAAAGGTCCTCTGTTTTGTTTTAAACACATAACCTCCTCAACTTTTCCCAGACTAGCCTTGAACTCACAATCCTCTTCATCTCTTGAGAAGCTGGGTAGAAACTACCAATAAGGTAAGTAAAGCTCATGGGGTTAGTCCAGAGTATTTGCTTCTACAATTAAAAAAATATATATTGCATTGGTAGGTTACTTTCTTCTCCATTCAGTTAACAAGACCTTTTTGAAAAAGGTCTTGGGAGATTTTTTTAGGTTTGTAAGACTGATAAGCAACACTGTAAAAGTGCTATGGTCTGAGGTGATTCTCTTTCCACCTGATAAGTAAGAGAGCTGGAAAGGACAGCTAAACCCCATCTGGACCATCTGTCCATCCTAATCAAAGCATGATCCCCCCCGAGCTTTTTCAGACAGAAAGATATATAGCTGTTGCCTCAAATTAAAAAAAAAAAAAGTTTGAGGGCACTATGGTTCATGACTATAATCCAGCTACTCTTGAGGCTGAGAGCTGAGGATCAAAATCTGAAGGCAGCCTTGTTAGAAAAATTCCTGTGATGCTTATCTCTAGGTAACCACCAAAAAGCCAGAAGTGGAGCTGTGGTTCAAGTGATAAAGTACTAATAGCCTTGAGGAAAAAGCAAACAAACAAAAAAAGCTGAGGGACAACACCCAGGCCCCGAGTTTAAGCCTCAGGACCACCACCAAAAAAATAAAAATAAAAAATTTTCTAATTATGGTAGGAGATTCCAAAAAAGTAAAAAACTGACACTGCTAATTAATTGCAGTTTCTCTTGACATGTAATGTGATTTCCTATGATTGAAATCTCAGTCCCTTCCCTCTGATCTAATCCTAGGTGAAATCACAGACTGCATACTACCTTTGACCTGGCAGGTCTATTGAGACAAGGGAAACAAGCCTGACTAAACCTGACTCAGCCCCAAAACTCAGGCTCATCAATCCCTAGGAAATCAAAACTCAAAACATGGTGTGTTTGTGAAATGGTCACTGCTGATCTCTTTTCTCTAGCCCTGAACTTCATTCCAGAATGCATTGAAAGTTTAGCTGGAAGCCAGATATTTACCAGTGCCTATACCTGAACATGTACTAGATGTGGAAGTTCTTTTAACTTCTCATATTCCCTTAAGGAGGCTGAGGCTGTGTTAAGGTCAGATCTTAAGTATGTTCATTTAAAGGACTTTCCCAGAAAAAAACAGTCTGAAAAAAGAAAAATATACTTGGTTACTATGGCTAAAATCAAGCCCTGACCCTCGAAAGAAGCTCTGGATGTAAGGGTCCCAGTTCACTGGAAGGGGATGAGGGGCCCAGACTTGATAGTGAGTGACAAAATATAGAAATATTTCATGTTACTTCAAGAAATATTCTCATGAAAGATCATAAATTGAAATTATTTTATTTTTGTTGATAGTATGGAGCCAACCAAACTCAGGCCTCTGTATTTGCTAGGTAAGTGATCTACCTTCAGCCAGGTCCCAACAAATGACAACATTTTAAAATGTGAACATTTTCACACTTACTCTCTGCTTTGAACACTGTCAACAAATGATCTGAAATTAATTCTTCCACTGAAGATTCCAGCTTCCTTTCTCCATCAATTATCCAGGGAGTTTGTGGTAGATTCCTTGAGTATTTATTATATCTCCCTGCCAAAGAAAATCAGGAATGTTCTTGGATGGAATGGTATGGTTAACAAAACAGGGCAAAAGAAGAAGCAACAACTGTTTAGTAAGCCCAAAGTTCAAGGTGTTATGATACAAACTAATTCATAATCTAACTTGGGGACCCAGCACACAGACATGAAAGTAATTAAATAAACAATAGATGGCTAACGATGTAATGTGAATGACACATCAAAAGTAATTAAATATGACTAAAATGATTAAATGTGATTAAAATATGATGAAAAGGAATCAGTACATTTAATAAGTTGACTAGCTCACTACACAAGTTATCATAGTATGTATGAAATACACAAGGGATCATTTTTTAAAACTAGTACCTTTATACATGATTAACAATATATACTTTCAATATAATAGTCATTAGTAATCATGTATTGAAAAATTCAAATACAGAAATTTTGAAGCTTCTTTTAGTTAAAAAAAAATCCTAACAGACTCTGACTCAGTGTTTTGGGGTAAAGCTAAACCAAGGCATACAGCTAGCTGCCACTGCTCTGGAGCAATCACAGAGAAATGAAGTAATAGTAATAGCTGAAAACTGTGTGCTGCATTACCACTTGGGAAAGTTAATACAATGTTTTTCAGGTAAAAATTAAGTGGTTAGTCATTTAGGAGATAATAGAAACATTTTTTGCAAAAGATTTTGTGTGTATGCGCCTGTCTAGGAGCCTGGGCACTGTCCTTAGGCTTTCTGTGCCAAAGCTAGTGCTCTACCACTTGAGCCACAGCTCTACGTCCATTTTTGGGTGGTTAATTGGAGATAAGAATCTGACAGATTTTCCTGCCCAGGCTGGCTCTGAACCACGATCCTCAGATCTCAGCCTCCTGACTATTACACGTGTGAGCCACCAGTACCCAGCACAAAAAAAAAAATTTTGGCATGACATTTCAAATAACAATTCAAATAAAACTTTTGTTGTTGATTTTTGTGTCAGTACTAGGCCTTGAATTCAAGGCTTTGTCACTCCGTTTTTTTTTCACTCATGGCTGGCACTCTACTACTGGAGCCATGCCTTTACTTTTGTCTTTTTGCTGGCTAACTGAAGATAAAAGTCTCTCAGATTTGTCTGCCCAGGCTAACTTCAAACCTCAATCCTTGTATCTTAGCCTTGTGAATAGATAGAATTATAGGCATGAATTACCAGTGCCCAGCACTCAGAGGGTCTTGAAGATTACAGAACCTAGAACAAGTTTGTCTATCAGTTCTGCTTTGCCAAAGAATAGACTAAGCAGAGCACAAAAAATAAAACAAGAGGGAGGGAGGGAAGAAAGAAGGAAGGAAGGGAGGGAGGGAGGGAGGAGGAAGAAAGGGGAAGGGAGGGAGGGAGGAAAGAAAGAAGGAAGGGACGGAGGGAGGGAGGGAGGAAGGAAGGAAGGAAAGAAGGAAGGAAGAGAGGGAGGGAGGAAAAAGAACAATGGAAATAAATTGGAGGTGCTCCTGATGGCCAAAAAAAAACAAAAAAACACCCAGTAAGAGAAGAGCAGAAGGTAAGTACATGAGTTGCTTAGAAAGGACATTAGGATGACAGAGAATGCAGAGTTTAAATTAAATATTTTACCAGCCACAAAAACAGCACCATGAGCACATTCAATCTCAAGAACAGTGCAGACAGTCTTTGGTGAGTCCGGAGGACAAGGAAACTGCCTGCAAAACAAAACAGATTTTATGGATACTACTTTCTAAACATGGTAACTGATCACAAAAGTAAGATGAACCAGAATCATCTGAGACACACATAGAACCTAAGTCTCTCCACAGACACCCATCTTTTGGTTTTGGAACAATCAGGTCTTTCAAGCCTCTAGGGTACCACTTTTAACATATGATGGTAGCAGCACTGAGTAAATCAGGCACCACAGCTTCCTAGATGGTAATTTCTAATAGCCTTCAGATTCATATGTTCAAGTGCGAGCCCCTCCATTTTGCTCTCCCTGGTCCCTTGCTGCCTGCCTGCTTACATGATTCTCACTCACTTGGGCAGAGCTAGTGCACAGTGATAGTACACAGTGAATTACTGGATGGCCTTGTAGGGTACAGCCCACCTATAGGGAAGGAGCTCTACCCATTTTCCTTTTTCTTCCTTCTCATTGCAGCTATGTTCTTGGGAATTAGACCAGAGAACCAGAAAAATGTAAGAATGTAGCTGACATAATCCCCTTAGCTAAGTAACTTCAACCTCACTGAGGAAAGAACTTTATTATCTGTCTATCATTTAGGAATTTCCAGGAACAGCAGTCTACTGTAAATGACTAGATGCAGATTTAATGACAAAAGTATGGCTTGAAATTTTCCTTTGGTTTCCCAAGATGCTTTAAAAAAGAGTTTCATTTAGAAACTTGGGAACTTGTATATGCTTATAGGAAGTAACTGTCTTTATTGAGATTTATGCAAGATCTGGAACAAAAACTACAGTAATATTCTATCTTAAAATCTTAAATGCATTAAAAATTATAAAGTTTCTTATATTTCAGTATAGTTTAACCATTTATGTTTTCAAAGAACACACTGATGCCATCATTGACTTGTCCAGAATTTCAAGTGGGTAACAGAGAATGGACCTAGAGCCAGGTTTCCTGATAAGCAGGCAATGCTATTCCCTTATAAGGTATTCCAGAGCCACCTTGACTTTCCTCAGCAGATGGAAATACAGGATTACAGATGTAAAGAGATTAGCACTTGACCTGAGGCCCACACTCAACTTTGTTGAAAACTTAGGGAAATCAACTCCCTCTGTGGACATCAATATCATCTTCTAAAATATAAGAAAGCTGGACTTGATTCATAATTCAAATATTATATTGATACACATATGCTGAATACTATGACATGCCAAGAACTACACAATCCTGGCCCCTGGAATATATTCAGTCTTCTCGTAGACACAAGTGAAATAACCTCTAACATTTCCTTTATTCCCAAATTCCATGATGCCTCCATTTTTCTATACTTCTACTTACTTTCGGAAATCTTCTTCTGTTATCTTATTCAAAGCTTTCATAACTGCCATTCTAGTGAATACCGACTATATAAGGTAAAATGGGAAAAAAAGACATTTTAGCACCCGAATAAAAAACATCAGAGCTGAGTACACAAAACATGATGAAGAAATTATATCACTTTATAGATCTAGAAGTAACAAATACTTAAGCTTCAAGAAAATAAAGCTTAAGAGCTTATAATGTCAGTCCCATAGTCTACTTCTCCAGCCTTCTCAATGATCTATGACCACTAGGAAGATGAGGACAAACAAGTCTCCTTTACTGATTGGTTCACTCTTTTCAAAATCCAATTTTCACCTGTGAAAATGATGGCATTTCAGGAAATACATTTTAAACATTTTCCCAACAGGAATTTAGACTAAACCATCCATCTTTTCTTCCCGATATCAGAGGCCACAATATGTAACTTAGGAGTTGGCTGCCACAGAAAGGGACAAAGGAGAGGAAATTTGCCTGCTCTAGCACCTAGCAACTCAATGTCATTCAATATTCTAAACAAATTAAGCCAATCTACTATACTGAAAACAAAGGTATCTACAACAATGATCCACTTGGGTTTTTTTTTTTTTTTGCCTTTTTTCTTAATAAAAAGCCACAATCTGCCCTAGGACTAGCAAAAAAAAAAAAAAAAAGCCATGAGTTATAGCATACTAGGACTAATTTGCAAATATATACATTGCTTATGATTTCTTCTTTAAGAAATCACATGTGGGGCTGCGAATGTGGCTTAGTGGTAGAGCACTTACCTAGCATGAATGAAGCCTGGCTTACCTAGCATGCATGAAGCCCTGGGTTCAATTCCTCAGTTACACATAAACAGAAAAAGCCAAAAGTGGCACTCAGGGACAGGCTGAGAATGTGGCTTAGAGGCAGAGTGCTTGCCTAGCATGCATGAAGCCATGGGTCCAATCAATACCACATAAACAGAAAAAGCTGGAAGTGGTGCTGTGGCTCTAGAGTGCTAGCCTTAAGTAAAAGAAGCTCAGGGACAGTACACAGGACAGGAGTTCAGTCCCCAGGACTGGCAAAAAGAAAAAGAAAAAAGAAAGACATCATGTGTGACTGAAAGGAAGTACATACTAGAAATCTTAATCATTAATCATTAATGTTTTATTATAATATATTATATTATTATATGCTATATATAATTTTAATAGAAAACATACCCTAGGGTTACTCTAGGAAGTTCTAACAAGGTACCATATAGTCAAAATGAAAATAAGGTGCCTGTTCCATAAGACATGAAATCTTAGGCCTGAAATAATCTCAAAAGGACACTCTACACTGCATTACAAGGCAAGGAAATCATACTTGAAGCTCTATATCTCTCACTGCCAAGTAGTATAGTGTCTAATATACCTTGAAATTTTTTTCCTTATCTGATGTTGGCACTGTTATGTCTTCCCAAATATAACAAAAACTACAAATATGTTTCATGGGTTATGCCCATAGAGCTTCCCAGCTAGTGGCAAAGAGGAGCGCTACAGTTGGACCAAGATGTCTAATCCTTTAGTTCACAAAGACTGAAGGGCAAGGACTGTGACAAGGGAACCTCCAGGCTGTGCTTCCATGCTGAAGCAATTACAACCATTGCCTTAAGGCGCTGAACATAGTCTTGTTCTAACTATGCCATGACATGAAAGTACAGGGAAGGCTAAGCCCCAGTGGCTCATACCTATAATCCTAGCTACTCAGGAAGCTGAGATCTGAAAATCAAGATTCTGAGTCAGCCCAAGGAGATAAATCCTTAAGACTATTATCTTCAATTAACTAACAAAAGGCTGGAAGTGGAAGTGTGACTGAATTAGTAGAGAACCAACTGTGAGCAAAAAAGCCAAGTAGAGCCTGTGGCCTTGAGTTCAAACCCTAGTACATAGACACCACTCCCCAAAACTCCTCATCCCCCTCATTATAGGGAAGGAAAAACTGCTTCAGGCTTACTCTACATTTCTATATAGAGTATTAGACCAATGTTATAACCTATTCTAGTTCTAAAGGACCCAATAATTAGTCAAAACAGAACATTTTTGACAATAAACATATTCTTTAAGGCCACAAGAAACTGTAGCAATACCTGACTCTAAAACAAACTCCATAACGGTCATGAAAGGTTGTCCCAGTATCATGCTCAGGGCTAAAACTACATACTCAGCCAGGTGCTGGTGGCTCACACATGTAATCCTAGCTATTTAGGAGGCTGAGATCTGAGGATCATGGTTTAAAGCCAACCCAGGAAGGAAGTCCATGAGACTCTTACAATTAGCCACCAGAAAACCGGAAGAGGTGCTATAGCTCAAAATGGTAGAATGTTAGCCATGGCAAAAGAGCTGAGGGACAGCACCCACACCCTGAGTTCAAGCCCGGTGACTGATTAAAAAAAAAAAAAGTACATACTAGCTGGGCACTGTGGCTCACACTTATAATCTTATAGAATACTCAAAGTGGCTGAGCTCTGAAGTACAATTCAAAGCCAGCCCAGGCTAAACGTTCCACAAGACTCTATCTCCAATTAACCAACAAAATGCTGGACTATAAAAGCATGGCTTACATGTTAGAATACCAGCCATGAGTCAAAAATCTGTGTAAGAATCACAGGTCTTGATTTCAAGCCCCAATACTAGCAAACACACACACACATACACACACACACATACACGCACACGCATGTGGGCACACACACACAATTTACATACTAACAAATTTATTACCTAACAGAAAAAAAGAATATGAATAAAAGGACATTTTTGCAAATGGAGCCTAAATAGATGTATAGGTAAAATATCTCAATCTGAAAATCCAAAATCTGGATTTCTGGATACTCAGCTAGTAGTCTATATAAATAATTCCAAAATCCAAAACATTTCAAAAGTCTGAAACATTTCTGGGTTAAGCATCTAAATAAAAGATATTCAACTTGTATTAAACTCAGGACCATCCTAAATAAAATAACATTTTGGTTTATATTTTTAAAACACTAATTTCTGGAATATATATATATATATATACACATATATATGTGTATATATATATATATATGGCAAAAGTTTGCAATGGTGTTAATACCAAGGATTTTCCTAGATGATGTAATTTAGGAAGTTTAAAAACAAGTTGACTTTCCTAAATGGTTGATAATGTTATCACCGATCTAAATGTCATGAACCAGATACTGACACAGCACAAGGAAATTTGCATACTAGGACTTTACCCAGAGGCAAAGATGCTAAGAGTTGAAAACATAAAAAGAAACATAGCAAATGCACATATTTGAAGACTGATTCTTGGTATAATAAACTTATCATATTTAAATGCATATCACTTTATTGTTAATTTGAATATTTAGCTCAGATAAAATTCCCAAATAAGATGAAAAACTTTTTACCTGCAGGGGTGGGGTAGGAAGGATGCGGGAGAATATTTAAAGGAGTGACATTGATCAAGATACACTATATTCATAAACTGTTTTGTTGAATGGCAACTCCTATGTACAATTACTTAAAGATAAACTTAAAAAAAAATCTTACCTGTTTGTTTTTGGCTGGCTTGAAACAATCTGGGCAAATTGTACCACTAAAATAAAATTTAAGTATTATAAAATGTTAATGAGCTTATTTGGGGATGAACATAATACTATATATACTTTACTCAACATGGCTGCTATAGTCAGCCATGTGAGCTATATTGGTTTGCCTAAGGAACTTATGTGAGAAGGTACATTCTAAACCCAGTGACATGATGAGTTCTGAAAAATACTCATTAGAAAGAGAAATAATACTATTTTCATGAAAACCGAAAGCATTAACAATTTTACATAACTGATGGTGATGTTTACATGGTAACTTACAGGAAGTGGCAGTCCTCAACTGTTTCTGGGTGAGCGAAGACCACACTCACTTCAAACAAGCTCTAAAAATTAGAAAGACACTTTTTAAATGAGCAAAAGGAAACCAACATCTAACAACTTATGAATGGAAACAGAATTTAACTCTCAAAAATTGGCTCAGAAAAAGTGATGAGGAAATCTAGAAGCACTACTGCTCTCAAGTCAGTTGTACACAGGGCAGCAATAAAGGAAAGTTGGTTTGTTTTCTAACTTCTAAAATTCAGTCACTAAATGATACTACCACACAATTTTCACAATAAAATTTTTAAAAACTTGTATGATTCTTGGACAAAGACATAAATTAGCTATAAAGGTAAATGTGAATTAGGGGAAGTGGAAAGAAATAACTTCAAGAAACAAACTGTTCTATTAATACTATGACTGGAATAAGAAGGCAAAAACATTATGCTCACATCCTTGAAAACTCTGTATAAAGTTTACTTTTTAAGTGCTCAACTTTTTAAAAATAAATTTTACTAAAAAAATTAGCCTTCCAAATTATAAAATAGTCAAATCAAATGAGTTTTCAATCCCACTCTACCTAGATAAAATGATTAACCATGTAGTGTATTTCTGTCTGGTCATTTTTATGAATATATACTTTTTGAGATATATATGCTTTTGAAAAAAATGCTTTACTTAATCTTATTTCATAGACATATTTCAAATGTACAGATTGTTAGAAAAGCTGAAGAATTTTCTAGTACTAAAAATTGTTAGCCAGGTGCTGGCACAGCTCACAAGATCTGAGGATTGTGGTTTGAAGCCAGCCCAGGTAAAAAAAAAGTCTGTGAGACTCTTATCTCCAATTAACCGCAAAAAGCTAGAAATGCAGCTGTGGCTCAAATGGTAAAGTGATAGCCTTAAGCACAAAAGTGCAGGGACAGAGTCCAGCCCCCAGAGTTCAAGCACCAGGACTGGTGCACACACATGCGTGCATGCAAAAACACACACACACACACACACACAAATTGTTACAATGAGCTGGGCACCAGTAGTTCACACCTATAATCCTAGCTACTCCAGAAGCAGTGATCTAAGGATCATAGTGTGAAACCAGAAGGGCAGGAAAGTTTGTGAGACTCTTTTATCTCCAATTAACCACCAAAAAGCCAGAGTGGAGCTGTAGCTCAAGTGGTGAAGTGCCCAAGCCCCAAATCCAAGCCCCAGGGCACACACACACACACACACACACACACACGCATGCACGCGCGCGCACACACACACACACACACACACGCATGCACGCACAGAAGCTACAATGAATATTTTTATATATCAAAACAGCTCATTTTTACCAGGCGCTAGCTAATCTCAGCTATTCAGGAGGCTGAAATCTGAGGGCTGCAGTTCAAATCCAGCCCAGGCTGGAAATTTTCATGAGACTCTTCTTTCCAATTAACCACCAAGTGGAGCTGTGGTTCAAATGTTAGAGCACTAACTTGGAGCACAAAAGCTCTGGGACCAGAATCGACACACACACACACACACACACAACATAAAACAAAATTTCATAAACCATATATTTTAACCTCTTTTGGGAATGCATAAAACTCCACATTAGAGCCAGGTGCTCACACACACACACACACACACACGCACACACACACACACAACATAAAACAAAATTTCATAAACCATATACTTTAACCTCTTTTGGGAATGCATAAAACTCCACATTAGAGCCAGGCGCTCACATTTGTAATCCTTGCTACTTGGGAGGTTAGAATCTAAGGATTGCTGTTGGATGCAGCCCAAGCAGGAAAAATCCATGGGACTCTTATCTCCACTTAACCAGCAAAATGTCAGACATCGAACTGCAGTTCAAGTGGTAGAATGACAGCCTCGAGCAGAAAAAGCTAAGAAACAGCACCAAGGCCCAAAGTCCCCAGAATCAACACACAAAAAAACAAACAACAAAAAAAAAATACCCTCCACACCTTGGGAAATGTAAATAACATGCTGTGTTGCAATTTATCTTTTTTATTAAGTTTTATATTTATTGAGTTCTGTGCGTGCTGAGTTCCCTGGATATATAATAAGCCTATTAACTACTCTAGAATCACAAAAATAAATAGCTTTCTTTTGCTCCTTATCTAACCTACAAAATAAAACCAAAATGAATGACACATGTCCTATTAAAGAAAACTTAATTCAGTCTAAATCTATTAAACCACTATTTCATCTTCTGTTTTCTATTTTCTATTCTCACTGATTCAATGTGTAAAATTATTTGTGCTTCAAACTGAAATTTGAGGTAAAAATATTTTGCATTAGTGACTTGTCTAATTTCCAAAGTACTTTCATTACCTCATTTCCTCCTCATACTATCTGTGGTTTTATTCTCTATTCTCTCAGTATTCAGTTCAAAGGACAGTCACAGTTTACTCCTACTAACAGAAAGAAATAAGAGTATATAAATTAAAATGGTTTAAAAACTCTTTTACTTGAATAGAAATGAATGTTATATTCATGGAATTTCTTTCAAGTAAAATGATAACATACAGAGGTCATCCTATAAAAGTCTAATTTAAGATGAGCTGGGCTATGTCCTGTTTTTATATCTGAAAACCTGTTGAGCTCTCCCTGAAATTCAATCCATTCCAGAGACTAAGGTCAGGTCTTTTCTGGAATTAAGAAAGTGACTAAGTTTGCAGGTGTCAAAGACAATCTCCACTTAAAAGTAAACAGAAGGACTTGAGATATTCACAAGGTAAAGTGGGTTGGATTCATTCTCACTGTAGTTAAATTGGTGCTTTCTATGTATCTAAAGCCAAGATTAGCCAAAGATAAGTGAAATTTAAATAGTCCAGAGTACAATCTATACTTGCTCATTACTTTGTATCTATACTTGTATTACTTTGTATCAGAATATCTGTTCCTCCAATTAAACTATAACATGTTAAAGGCAAAGATTCATCTAACCTTTTAAGGTCAAGAGTGTACCCACTTACGTTACACTCTTTAAATGTTTGGATCACAAAGAAGCATTTGGAGCAAAAGATTAGAAGGGCTTTAATTTAAGACATTTTAAAAGCTTAGAAGTCCTTCACTGAATTATTTGACTAAAGCAAAACTCTGCATATAATAAAGTAAAACTAATAAAATTAGAGAAGAGACTTAACAATGCTATGACCCAATACCTTTCCATCAATTGGAACGCCCAGTTCCTCTGAAAACAGGGGGTGAGTTATCCATTTGTAGGCTTCTTTTAGCTGAACTATATCAGTTCTTCCCAGCGACAGACTCTGCTTTCTGAATAACAAAAATTAATTCACTAACATGAGAAACTTCACTTTTTCTAACAAAGGCAAGAAGTTATGTAATTAATTTAAAATATTAAGTGTATGTGATATAAAGCAGAGAATAAAGCAAATGAAAATTCTCTACATTTTAGGTGTATAGCCCAAGAAAATCAAGAAACCACCTTTTAGATGGTATATAAAACATTTCTTAAAGATTCAATGACAAAAGCCCACTAGTGTGTTTTTCTGAGCTAGATTTATAGATTCCAGGATTTATACATACTGGAAGGGGGAAAAGATAATTGCTTATTGCTCAGAAGCCATAAAACTACTACAGTAATCACCTCCATGGTGAATCTCCTCCTCTCCTGAAAATGACTTACTCTTAAGAAATTATTGTAAAAATTGTATTTTTTCTTTGTTGCTACAGAAGAAATATTAAATCCTGAAGTAACAATACTATGATATGCTTCTCCATGTAATATCTGATGATGTCTGAGTAGACTTCACATTCCCCTAAAATCTACTCATGAGACAATATACCCAGTTGGGAAATCCCCATTCTGAAATTTGGCTTTAGTTTATAGCCTAAAATTGTGACAGAAAGAAACTAAAGTAAAAGGAAAGAAAAACATGGCATAGTATGACTAAAACTATTTTACTCTGTTGAGAAAGTGTGGGGTTTTTTTGTTTTTTGGGTTTTTTTTTGCCAATCCTGGGGCTTGAACTCAGGGATGGGGACTGTCCCTGAGCTTATTTTGCTCAAGGTTAGTGCTCAATCATTTGAGCCACAGGGCCACTTCTGGCCTTTTCTGTTTATGTGGTACTGAGGAATCGAACCCAGGGCTTCATACATGCTAGGCAAGCATTCTATCACTATGACACATTCCCAGCCAAATTGCGATATTTCTAACAAGCCCATATTAAACTCGGTATCATCTGTATGCCTATTTATAGTAAAAGAGATGTTAAGATCAAAGTTCTGGGCTGGGAAGGTGGCTCAGTGGTGGGGTGCTTGCCCCACCATGCATGCATGAGGCCCTGGGTTTGATTCCTCAGCACCACAAAGCAGTAAAGGCCAGAAGTGGTGCTGTAGCTCAAGTGGTAGAGCACTCGCCTTGAGCTGAAGAGCTGAGGGACAGTGCCCAGGCCCAGAATTCAGGCCCCACAACTGACAAAAAAAAAAAAAAGATCAAAGTTCTGAATTGTCACTCCCTTGACCCACTTTTTTTTGTGGTCAGTCATGGGGCTTGAACTCAGGGCCTGGGTGCTGTCCCTGAGTTTTTTTGTTCAAGGTTAGTGCTCTACCACTTTGAGCCACAGTTCTACTTCCTATCTTCTGGCGGTTAATTGAAGATAAAAGTCTCATGAACTTTCCTGCCTAGGCTGACATCAAACTGTTACCCTCACATCTCAGCCTTCTGAGTAGTTAGGATTACAGGCATAAGCCACCAGCACCCAGGTGAATCAACCCTTTTAATGTCTAACTTTCACTGGTAGAAACTCTACTTATAAGCAATATCCATTTCCATTTAATTTTGTAAAGCAAAAGACACTAGTAACTGTAGGTTGCAAATTAAAAAGTAGCTTAGCAAATGATTAAATTGAATCAATCTGAAAAAAGAATATAAAGAATATTCTCCCTCTAAAAATACAAATTAAAAAATCCAGCCAAAACTATAACTGGTTACAGAGGGTGCTTTCATGATTTGGGATTATGGTTTACAATGAAATATCCAGACAAATAATATTTGACAAATAAGCAAATTACTTCTCCATATTCATCAACTTATTTTAGACACATTTAGGTGTTTTTTTTGGGGGGGGGTTTCAGTCGTGGGGCCTAAACTCTGGGCCTAAGCGCTGTTCCTCAGCTCTTCAGCTCAAGGCTAGCACTCTACCACTTGAGCCATAGCGCCACTTCCGGCTTTTTTCTTATGTGGTGCTGAGGAATCAAACCCAGGGCCTCAAGCCTGCAAGGCAAGTGCTCTACCACTGAGCCACCTTCCCAACCCCAACATTTAGGTATTTTAAGGCCTTGATATTGAATCAACAGTTTAATGATATTTGCATAAACTATCATTGCAGTTAAAAGTACACATCATTATATGAGCATATGTTCTTTCAGAATGTATTTTAAAGAGTTAAAAGCTGAAACCAAAAAACACAAGAATGGAAACTATTTTAAAAATTATTTAGACTTTAGCATTCAAAGAGTTACACCAAAATTAATCCTAATAATCCATTATACAAGAAAATTGCTGTTTTAGATGATAGGGTTTTTAAATGTATGTACAGCAGTTAGTCCACTTAAAAAAAAAAAACCAACTTCAAGTACAGATACTTTTCTCCTACACATTAAAACACCAAAAGGGTTAACAGACAGTTTGGAAACCTTATTACAAATACCAATACTTAGGATATCAGCGCTCCAATCCTAAAATGTAAAATGTGGTTACTAACTTTTTTAATGTAATTGGGGAAAATGCCTTCACAGAGGCCTTTGGCATATATCTGATTGTCTTTTAGAGGGATCAGCAATTACACAGATAAATGCAGTCTCCATTTAATATTTACTAACTGCTTTCCTCTCTGTCAATGAGAATGTCACTTTTGTTACAGATATAACACAATCACCTTTCTAAAGAAAAGATGAACCATAATTTCCAAGGCAATTGCTTTTTTCTACATTTCGAAATTAAAGAATCAACGCTTTGATAGAAATTCTCCTTAGCCTTTCAACCTCTAATAAACTAAGGGCAGTGAAGGAAAAGACTAGTGTCCCACATTCTTTTTCCTCCAGTATTCCTATTTAAATCAAATTCTTTCCAAGAAACTAAGCATAGCTTAAAATCCTTTGGTACAGAATAAAAAGAATAACTCGGGGCTGGGAAGATGGCTCAGTGGTAGAGTGTTTGCTTTGCATGCATGAGGCCCTGGGTTCAATTCCTCAGCATCACATAAACAGAAAAAGCCAGAAGTGTGCTGTGGCTTAAGTGATAGAGCAATTGCCTTGAGCTGAAGAGCTCAGGGACAGTGCCTAGGCCCAGAGTTCAAGCCCCATGACTGACCAAAACAACAACAACAACAACAACAACAACTCACAAGCAACATGAGTACAAAAAACATGATGCTACAACCATAAGACTAATTTAATAAGATTTAAACCACCAAACTTTTGATAAATATGAGGTTATTATTACTCTCTGAAAAGTACTGGTATGAAATACAAAATAAGACAGAAAATTAATTACTTTTTTAAATAAGTAACAACCAAGACTGACCTAATATAGAAATCTAATATCGAAATCTTGTAGAAACTCCAACCTGGCTTTTTGTTTTTTGGTCAGTCCTAGGTCTTGCACTATCCCTGAGCTCTTTTGCTCAAGGCTATCACTCTACCACTTCTGGCTTTTTCTGAATAGTTTAATGGAGACGAGTCTCACAGACTTTTCTGCGTGAGCTAGCTTTGAACTGCAATCCTCACATCTCAGCCTCCCAAGTAGCTAGGATTACGGGAGTAAGCCACTAGCCTTGGCTTTACAGGGCCTATTTATGGCACAGAAATTTTAGTTTAAAATCCAAAATGCTCTGAAAAGTTATTTTTAAGCTCAGTCCCAAACTAAATCCTGATTTGAACAAATGAGGCTATTCAGTTCATTTACCAAATTAACTGTGAATATTCTTATTTCATTGCAGAAATAGTAATCCTTAATATTAATATTAGTCAATATTAATAAAATATTAATATTGGTCAATATTAATAAAATATTAATATCAGAATTTAAAAGAAGTGTTATATTTTATAGTTAGTATATAACAGTCCTCAAATCCAAAAATTTTAAATTCCAAACCACATTTGGCCTCCAAAGGTTTCATCTAAAAGGTTCTATGTGTTATTTGTGAACAAATTCATTGTTCTACCTTAAATAGAATTTTACTTGTCAAGGGTAACAAATTAGACAAGAAATGTAATCACTACCTTACTTATGTAACTGTAATCTCTCTGTACATCACCTTGACAATAAAATTTTTTTAAAAAAGAATTTTACTTTTCATTTTTATGGCCTAGTTTTATAATTTAGTTTCTAATACCAATGAAAATGTGTTATCTTAAGATAAACTCTCATTATCTGTGTCTAATACATATATGTTTACATTGATATTTGATCTACACAAACAAAACATGAATCTACTTTATTATTAATATGCTATACAACTTATCTCCTTGAATAAGGCTGACACCCTAAATTGATACAATAAGAATTACTTCCATTTGCAACTTCTCTAGTAGCTAGTGAATTTACTCAAAAAAAAAAAAAGTATAAGTACTTTAACAATCAGGTAACATACTTAAATGATAGTAAAAACTCCCTACCTAAATTACTTACCCCATTTCCTGTTTGACCAGCAACCATGCAGCATGCTTGAAGCAATTTAGCACCCAGAAAGGAAAGGAGAAAAACGTTCAATATTAAATTAAGTTCTAATATTAGTATCCAGTATTTAGCTAATTTGCTAATAAAACTCCCTTTCAGAAGATAGTGTTAGGAATGTTGCAATGATCTCAGATTCATTTCAAATAAAAAACATGATAAGATTCACTTTGCAATGCTTACTTGCTGTGGCCTAGAAATTCAAAGGGTATTCCCTTTCTATATCTCAGTATTGAGAGATAGAAATCACTCATAATGATTTTTTATTATTAATAATAAGTTTTTTATTGTCAAAGTACCAGACAGAGAGGTAGTAATTACATGAGCAAGGTAATGAGTACATTTCTTTTTTTTTCTTTTTTCTTTTTTTTGGGGGGGATCTGGTCATGGGGCCTGAACTCTGGGCCTGGGCACTGCCCCTCAGCTCTTCAGCTCAAGGCTACCACTCTACCACTTGAGCTACAGTGCCACTTCTGGCTTTTTTCTTTTTGCTTATGTGGTGCTGAGGAATCAAACCCAGGGCCTCATGCATGCAAGGCAAGCCCTCTACCACTGAGCCACCTTCCCAGCCCTGAGTACATTTCTTATCAAGCATTGTTGCCTCCTCCTTTGTTTCCCCTTACCATCTTTACCCTCCCATCCCCGCACCTCTTACAATGATTTTTAACAGAGCTAGTTTAAGATACCTCATTATTTCATAGGGGAAAAGCCCAAAGTGACTAGGTACCTATTACTCAAAACATAAATTGAAGGCACTAGCTTTTTGTTGTTGTTAATAGGGAGACGTATTTTTAACTCTACTTAGTCATAATAGTCACACTTACATGTTCAGGAGTTAAATGTACTAATGCCTCCAGCTCATTTTGATTTACAACCAAAGGTAAAATAGATTGGTGGCTAGATAACTGGATGGTTAGATACATAATAAAGCAAACAGAAAGTACTAACAAGCCCTGCATGGTGGTTCAAGCTTATAATCCTAGCTACTTGGAAAGCCGAGATCAGGGGAATTAGTTTGATGGCATTGCAGGCATAAAATTCATGAGACTCCATCTCAACTAAGTCTGGACACAGTGGTACATGCCTGTTGTCCCAGCTATCAGGCAAGTATAATGGCTTGGTGCAGTGGCAAGAGTCTGTCCTCTTCATTTCTCCATTTTCCATTAGACTCTCACAGCTTCCAAGTTAGAAAACAGTAAACACACAGTTCAGCACGTGAGAGCATGACAGGAACATGCACATTCAGAAATGTTACGTGAATTAATGTGTTAAGACCCGAGCTACTCGGGGGCTGGGAAGGTGGCTCAGTGGTAGAGTGCTTGCCTTGCATGCATAAGGCCCTGGGTTCAATTCCTCAGTACCACATAAGCAGAAAAAGCCAAAGTGGCGCTGTGGTTCAAGTGGTAGAGCACTAGCTGTGAGCTGAAGGGACAGCTGAGGGACAGCACCCAGGCCCAGAGTTCAAGCCCCATGACTGACCAAAAAAAAAAAAAAAAGACTTGAGCTACTCATAATAAATTCTTCATTAGCTAAGAACTGTTCCCAATGCCTAATTTGTTATCTGTTTTCTGTCTGCCCCCTCAGCTTACTCCCATTTGTAGTACTGTAGGACTCTTATCTGATTCCATCCACTTATTCAAGTCCTGTTTCATTGTGTGTTGCATGTCATAATACATAAATATGAGGAGTCAGAAAACCTGGCTTCAAGCTTTACTTAATTTCTGGGACTCAATTTTCTAATATGAAAATGTGAGAATTGGGTAAAGATTGTTATAATGTAAACTTTTCAGGATGGCTAGAGGTCATCATTAATAGACATTTGTTGGTACAGTTTAATAATTAATACAATTAAGACTAATAGGACTTTGAGGTCACAGAAACAGTAAGTATGGTGTCTTAAGTATGGTGTCTCAAAGCTGAAGCCTTGGGCTGGGATGTAGCTCAGTGTCAAAATGCTTGCCTAGCAAGTTCAACTTCCTGGGTTTGATCCCCAGTACCACAAAAGAAAAGACAAAAAAAAGTAGAGTTTAAAAAAAAAAAGCTGAAACCTTTTAGTTAATGTTATCCCATCCTTCCTTCAGCCTCATATTTTTAAGAGACCAAGGAACACTGACCTCTGACTCATATTATACAGGAAAACTAACACTTCCCTTACAGGGAAGAGTTTTAATAGCCTCTTAATGTAAGAGGTTATAAAGGAATTATGTACACAAGGAACCCAAATTATTGGCATGTACTTAATAAATGGTAACCATTATTTCTGTTCACTGAAAACTTGCCATCTGTACTTTGCAATCTGTTATCTGAGGAAGGGGAGGGGGAGAGAGAGAGAGTGTGTGTGTATGTGTATGTGTGTGTGTGTGTGTGTGTGTGTGTGTGTGTGTGTATTCTGGAATCTCCCTCATCTTTTTTTTTTTTTTTTTGCCAGTCCTGGGGCTTGAACTCAGGTACTAAGTGCTGTTCCTGAACTTCTTTTGCTCAAGGTCACCAAGATAATTTTAATAAATGTTATGTTCCTGTGTCAGTGGGAAAAAAAATTAGTTCTCTAGAGTAAGCAATTAAATTCTTCCTCCCAATAGAACCAAGAGGCGCTAACACTTGAACCATAGTGCTGCTTTTGTCTTTTTCCGAGTATTTTGTTGGAGAAGAGTCTCACAGACTTTCCTACCCTTATGGGATTTGAACCACAGCCCTTAGATCTTAACCTCCTAAGTAGCTAGGATTACAGCATGAGCCACTAAAGCCACAGCACAACTACCTTTCTGAAGAAACTTCAAATGCCTTTGTACTTTTTTGGCCGTTCTGGAGTTTGAACTCATGGCCTCACACCTGCTGAGCAGGTGTCTGGCCACTCAAGCTACTCCTCCAGCCCCTTTTTGCTTTTTTTTTCTTAAGCAAGATCTAACATTATGTCCAGCCTGATCTGGACTACAATCCTCCTATTTGTGTTTCCCTTTGTTGCTAGGATGACAGGCGCAAGCCACTGTGCCCAGGCATTGGTTGAAATGTACTCTCACCAACTTTCATGGCCAGGATGGCCTCAAACCACCACCACTTGATCTTTGCTTCTCAAGTAGCTGTGATTACAGGCCTAAGCCACTGTGCCTGGCTCTTCTAGGCATTTTTATATCCTTTTGTTTCTTCTTTTGAGGCAAACTTTTACAGGTGATATGATCAAGAGTGCAACATATCCTACCATTCTGATTACAAAGTAGGGCAGAACTGGAGGTTGCCAAGGGAAACCAGATAACTACATATAATGTGGAATAAAATTGAATGTCTTCAATACCTGAGACTTGCTACAGGGTTTTTCTTTGCTAATCCTCTGCAGGCTCCCTACTCAGGAATGCCAGCGGGCTGGAAAGAACTAATCACACAGCATGGGCTAGGCGGCTGAATCCCAAAGAAGTCGGTATTGCTCAATTATTCAATTTTTACCTCATGCTAACAATGCCTTGGACCTGCTTCTGCCAAGAAAAAGAGATGTATTTCTCTCTTTCAGGTCACCAAGATAATTTTAATAAATGTTCTATTCCTTTATCAGTGGAAAAAAATTGTTCTCCAGAGTAAGCAATTAAATTCTTCCTCCCAATAGAACCAAAAGGCATTAAAATTATACAGTTTAATCAAATTTTATACCAGAGGCAGTATGTCACCTCCTGAAAATTCTAGAACCACAAAATTTAATCTGGATTCTGCCTTTACTTGAATATTGTGGGCAAGTCCTAAGTGGGGCAGTTGAAAAACTGCTAAGATATACTCTGGTAACACTAAGACAGACAGACAGACAGACA